GGGTGAAAGAGACAGGATACTATCAAACGGAAGAAAATGGTGTCACTTGATAGATTCCAAATTATATAAGACTTTCATAAGTGTAATGTCTGTTTTTGTTTCTCTCTAGTGTTTTTAGAAGAACAGATTGTACTTCCAGGATATTACGAAAGAAAAATCAATTAACGCTCGCGAGGTGGTATGTCTGCCATTTGTGCAAAGCTAGAATATTTTCTTTCATCACCTCTCTAACCTTTTTCGTTTTATATAAAGTATCATTCAGAATTCGTTCAGACTAAAAGAAATTTGATAAAAGCGATTATTTGGGGCTTTTTGCAATGAAGTTTTGCACTGGCTTTCATGTCTGACGAAGTCAGAATACACTGTCCGGTCACTGTTTAATGAAATACGTGATCTATTAGCTCCTACATTGTTCTTTTTCTTTGACACGTTTTATCACGTCCCATTTCGAGTGTGTAGTTGCTGAGCAAGCTACAGGTAATCCAGATTCGAACATACTTGTGAACACGGGCATATAGCTTGTTTCAACAACACGGAACGGGTGCATGGAACTGACCAGATACAAAAAACAAGGCAAAAACTGATGATTAACCATTGAAGTGATTAGAAGAAGATTCGTTTGGAGACAGTTTTCTGCCAAAAACATGCCCATAACTGTGGATAACGTACTGAAATTGGAATTGGTTTCAGTTTTGTTATTAATATCTTACCTTATGGGGTTATTTGGTCGCAACATTGAAACTTTTGCATAGTTAATCAGTGCAAACTACTTTAATGAGGTGAAGTTTGTCCATCAGTTTGTGAACTATACTATTGATGTGGCCAGAGGATGATGAGAGTAAGTACACAACATGACAAAAGTACTCGTTGGGATCTCATGGTTGAGTAGAACATCTCGAAAATTTGAGCTTGCATGTAATAACCTACCGTTCATGAGTTTGGCATATACTCAGGATACCCTCTACAGGGACAGGGGCAGGACAGCGGAGCTTAGCAATAAAAATCTAGCAAAGATCCTCAACAGTGCAAGATGTGACCCCAACATATCTTTTTTCCGAATAAATCATTCTCAACAAAGTCCTTTACAGTGAACTCTAAAATCACCTCCGTACTCAAAAAAAGAGTTATAAGAATAGATTCAAGACAAGAAACCTTCTCTCAAACTTTGAGAATCATAAACGCATAAACACAAATCAATCTATGATTGCGTATAATCAGTACTTCCCTACTACAGAGATAATGAAGAGAGAAGGCAACAATCGGTCAATGAGATCTTGATGTGGTTTACAAAAACGAGAAACGAAAAACTTTTCTCGAACTCATATCATCACATCAAGGTTACCAATATCTTACTTGTGCGTTACTCGAACATCTCACAAACAGCTATATCGGCTTCATGCGAGAGTACTCAAAACTTTCTGCGGAATCTCACCGATATGGAAAGCTGGTCCACACACACCTGCAATTGGCGGCAGGCAGTAGAGGAGTTCTTGTGAAAACTTAAAATTAACATCGGTTAATTTGATATCAAAAATATATTTCCGGTACAGTTAGATTATAAAAAAAGAGAGAAATCGATGAGTGAGAGAATCTGGCCAAACTACAGAACAGAGCAATAGATCGTTCTCAAACGAAAACAACAGACAACCTATCTCCAACCTTACTTAAGTCTCAATGGCGTTAGGGAATAGACTGCTTGACTCCGCCCATAACCAAAATACAAACACTCAACCTTAACTTTCAAACAATCTTTCCAGTAGATTTATATTTTTCCGAATATCAGTAACTAAGAAAAGATGATGTCCAAAGCATATAACAAAGGTTGTGATTAGAAGCTCAGAAGTTGTAGGAAAGTGCTACTTCAATCGCAGATGTGATCGAAGAGAATCATACGTGTAACTATATCCGATCGCATTTTATAAAGCATGGAGTTTTTCATTATTTATTTCCAGACTCATCTAACTAGATATATTAAACGTACTGGTACAACAATATTGTCTGGTCAAACTTGCTTGCCTATAAAATAAAGATAATACAGAGGGTGAGAGATAAACGACTACCTGCTCTTCTTTTCTTCAAATCCATCCTGACAGCACAATTGATAGACTTTGGAGTGTTCTTGAAATCTTTCTGCAACTCTCTATGTGTTTCTCTCTGTCTATCTAAGTTTCTCCAGGCTGAGTTTTCTATCAGTTCGTTCAGCTAATTAATGACCTCACCGACAATCAAAGTCTCAGCTTCATTTCCTACAACCTCACCTTCATCATCTCTTCTCTTCTTTAATCCTCTTTATGTGTCTATAGTATTCTTTTTCTTATTTTTATGTTGCTCATCTTCCATTTTTCACACGTCTTTTATCAAACGTCTATTTTCATTGAAATAATGCTCAACCATATTCTCTTCTCCATCTCTCTTTCCTTCCTTCTCCCTTCCCGGTTCCCTCTAGATACACTATCTTTCTTTTTTCTCTCCTTCTTGTTTCATTTCTTCACCTATTCTCTTTATAATTCTTTTTTCTTTTCTTCTTCCATCCTCTCTCCAACCGTTTAGAATCTTCTTCCTTACTTTCTCCTTCTCCTCACCAACACCTCAAGACTTCTGATCAAATAAGCCCCGCCCATTTTTCTACGATCATTTATTCTGAGGATCATCGCATCATATCTACAACTACTTCTTAAGTGATTTCATTCAATTCATATCCATGTTTTTATAATATTTGATATATAGTCTTCCGTTCCGTTTGTTATGTTCTTCTCATGCTCTCCAGATTCTTAGATTCGAATTTTGAAGGAATTATAGAACGAAGTAACAAAAATTCTTAACTGATATTCAATCCTTCAACAGATATTTCGAAATTCGCAGAGATTTTCTAATTTTTTTCTTCAAAATTTCTCTTTCCAACTTCTTTTTGCTCTGCACAGCACTTTAAACCAGGAAACATAATCTTTATCTCATTATGAATACGGTTCGTGTTGAAAAAAAGTTGAATCACTTTGAAGGTTTCTTGTTACCTTCTGTAAGGTTAAGACGGAGAGAAGAAATGATTGTCAAGAAAACAATGCTTTTCATTTTAAAATCTTGAATTATGTTACATTAATTTGACTCTGTGTCCCTTGTCCTTGATGTCCTTACTAACTTGAAATCACATATGATCTCTAACTTCTCAGTCTACTGATGATCCTTACTTCAACTACTTGAACCTTCAATTATTTTTCGTTTTTGAAAAACAGACAAAACCTGGGTAGGAGTTGGCATGATCTCATGCATGAGTCTGAAAGCCATCTCATCTGAGGTTGTGTGATGTCGTCCAGTTCCAGTCATGTGTTGTAGTCTTTTCACTCTGTGTCATCATATAAAAGTCCTTGTGGAAGGATCATAAATAATGCTTTTATCTACAGCAACAGGCGCTGTTCGTCTCGAATCGTTGTTTCTTCAGCTTTTGCTTCTGCCGCCGTCCATCCAACATCTGAGCCATTCACCTTTTGGGATGACCCCTCATTTCGTTCTTTTATTCCTGTTTTTTTTGGAAAGCCAATCTCATAAATTTTGCTCGTACATCTTTCCTGCTATCGATAATGTTAAAGCTTTAGCTAATTTTCTTTGTTCATCACTGAATATCAGAAACGTTTTAGCTCATCCTTCATGCCTGTCCACCTCACCAAGTTGTCTTTCTCTCAAAAGCCTATAATCTATCTTAACGTTATTCGACTATTACTATATTATCTGTTCATTTTTTTGTGTGATCAGCAATTCCATCTGTTTTCATTTCTCTTTAACCTTTTTTTTTCTCAGAAATTATTTGACAACATACATATCTTCAGTCTGACCTCTGCTTGAACTTCTACAATGAAGTTTGACCTACGGCTGCTCCTATTTTTGGGGCTGGTCCAATGGTCATCAACTCATTATGACGTCGGACGTCTACCTATGGATGAAACAGCAGGAAAAGTCTCTAGAAGCTAGAATGAGTCATACAACTGATTATTTGATATTATAGAGCTCTTTAACATTTGTCTTTGATATCACCGGAAGTATGTTTGATGATTTAGTTCAAGTTCGAGAAGGAGCTCGTAAAATCTTCCAAACTGTCATGGCTCAAAGAGAGAAATTGATTTACAATTACATTATGGTACCCTTTCACGATCCACGTAAGTTCTTTCAGAATCATAAGTGCTACTTGGTCTATTCAAAGCATTACTCAAACTTTGGAATTATAAAAAAAAAAGATTTAAAAAACAGTTTTCTTGTCATCCTTCTCCGAAAGAAAAACTTGAAGAAGAAAGACAATATGTTGTATGAGTAATAAGGATTGTCTCATTTATAATTCATAATCACTTCAAACGTTCTATACCATTATGTGTTTCATCAAAAGTTTTTTTATCTATTGAATAGAAGAAAAAAAGTAAAATCTCAATTTTTGGAGAGAAGAGAATAACGATTTACAAGCTGTTACACTTCCCATGAAGACACTTAATCTTTTCATCCATTAATTAGATTCTAGACAAGAAACTAGGTGGTAATTTGAAATTAGATGATTTATATTTATTTTTTATTTTTTATATGAACTTTTTACAGATTTGGGTGAAATCATTAATACTACCGATTCAACATACTTCCTGAGACAACTCAATAAGGTATACGTACATGGTGGTGGTGATTGTCCAGAAAAAACCTTAACAGGTGAGCCATAAATAATTCTATATTTTCATTATATGTTATCAATTTTCTTTTTTTTTTACATCTTGAAAATCAATCTTAATATATATTTTTTCTTGAATTTACGTGGGAAATGTCCTAATTCGAGGAAATGATTCATTCCTTAAAAGGTCGTATCTACGGACCGTTAAGCACATCTTATTATTCTGAGACGGAACACAGCAAATGTTGCGATTTCAAAGAATATTTGTCCAGTTTTTACTGTCTGATTTCTGAAACTTGTGTGAATTCATTAAAGTTATGAAGACGTGCGAGGGATGAGAAAGAAATTGTGAGGAAGTATTATCGAGAGAGACAGAGTGACTCGAAGTTAAGAGAGCAGAGAGAGAGATATTGAGGAAGAGAGAATGGAAATGAAAAGTTTACAAGTTAAACTAAAGGTTAAAGGCGAAAGCGGTATAGTCTTTTGGAATTTGATATGCATTTGCCATCTCTTAGTACCAATAATAAAATGAAATTAGCTTTGTAAAGTGTTCGTTCTCATCCCCAATTCCTAGACAGATCAATTTGTCTGAAACTGATGAAGTGTGTTACCCGATTGATCTTCTTTTCAACATTTGGGAAGAAAAAAACTTTTAAGCTGAATGTTTCGAAAAAGAATGATAGAGATAGATGGGGGAAACTCAGCCTTTTTTTTATTTTCAAAATAATCTTCGTTCTGTGTGGTACCGTATAGCTCTTCATCTCATGATCTTCTATTGAAACTGATTGTCTGTAACGACACTTGAAAATGACATTACAAGGAAGTCAGTTTTGATTGGATTGACGATTATAAGGGAGATTGCCAAAAAGAATGTTATGGCTTAGAATTTGTTTGATTTATTTTGAATTATGTGATTTTTCCCTTTTACAGACAAAAGCTCAAGTAATAAAGGTGTGAGAGAATGTGAATGTGAGTCGACGATAGAGAAAAGGCTTTCAGTTAGACAGATGAAGGCACGAGTTGAAGAAACACGAGATTGTATCATTGACTATAAGAGAAGAGAGAAATAGAGAGAGAAGAAAGAGAGAAGGAAATAAAATAAATTAAAAAGAATAGAGAGAAGAGGAAATGTTTTGATAACCTGTGAATAGCAGGGCATTGTATCCGGCTCGTTCAGCTAAACTGCGCAGAGGTTGTAAAATCGTAACCGGAGTGTTCTACTAGGGTGTCACTTTTGTTAACAACGTCTCACATACTTTCTCTCTTTCTCTCATATTTTCTAAAACTCAAAGTTCTAGATTGAGAATGCTTCAACAGAGAGAAAATGAGAAAAAGAGAGAAAAAGGGATTAAAAAGAAACAAAAGGAGAATAAGCTCTTAGTATCAAGTATATCGGATGAAACTTACACCGACGAGTAAAAGTTGAAATATCCATCGTTTGAAGATTACAGAGAATGTTTAAAAATGGAATTTATCTTTATTTATCACTCAGAGGGATTGATTATTATTATTTCATTTAAGGTATTTTGACGGCTCTGAATATCTCGTTACCCTCCTCATTCATATACGTCTTCACTGATGCGAGATCGAAAGATTATCACTTAGAGGATGAAGTCTTGAATATGATTCAGGAAAAGCAGAGTTCTGTATGATAGATGAATTTGAATTAGAAATAAAACATGCCTATATAGGTTGTTTTTGTTATGACTGGTGATTGTGGAAATAGAACTCATCCAGGATTTAGAACATACGAGAAGATAGCAGCAGCTTCATTTGGACAGGTTTGGTTTAAGCTTACAGCAATTTAATTTTCACTGATAAAAAAATAATTTTCCTTATTTGATTTTAATGGAGATTATTTAGGTTTTTCATTTGTCTAAGAGTGATGTGAGCACCGTATTGGAGTATGTTAGACATGCAGTTAAACAGCGTAAAGTGAGCATATCTTAGCTGGTTTCATATTTTAAATTTAACTTATTGATAGATTCATATGATGTATGAAGTTCGTGATCGTGGAGGTACAGTCTCCAAAAAAATTCCTGTTGATAAGCATATGACTGAGCTGACACTATCTCTCTCTGGTGATAAAGATGATGAAGAGCAATTGGATATAACATTAATTGATCCACAAGGTAAATTATTTTTGTTGTACTTTTTTCGTCCTTGGCTACTGCAATTGCAAATAATTCAATTTCTGTCCGCCCTCGGCCAACTGGCATTAATCTATCACTCAGCCACACGCACAAGCAGAAGAAAAAAAACTTCTGAAAAGAGAAAGTGTGAAAAAAAGACAGTTGATATCAGCTTGCGAACAAATCGTCATCAAATGTTGATGATTAATATGATGATGACTATGTTGATATCTTGTTGTGATTAAGGATATCATGTGGATAAGAATACGTATAACAAAGAAGGAGGAACGATTGATTTGAAGAATGTTAAATTAGTTCGATTAACCGATCCTAAACCAGGTCAATGGCAGGTCAGTTAATGGATGAGCATTACCAAAATCGTAATAAGCGTTTTAGGTTGTTACTAACTCTCGCTTGAAACATACAATTCGTGTGTTTGGTCATGGCTCAATTGACTTTAAATATGGTTTCGCTTCACGGATTGTGGATGAAATTGAATTGGTTGTTTTTAAAATATACAGTTCCTATCTTAACTAATAGCTTTCCAGGCTAGCCAGCGTCCAGTTTCGAATCAAAACTCCTATTTGCTTGTTAACATGACTGGAATGGTACCTCCTGGAACAGTTACAGAAATCGCTTTATTAGACTATTATGGTTTTCAAGTTACTTTGATATGATTTTAATAATTATGACTTTAAGGAACATCATTGTACAAAAGTGAAGCTACTCCTCATAGAAACAATCCTTATATGTACTTCGTGGGTCCTTTAGTACCTCCGAAAGGACTGTTCTTCGTTCGGGTTCGAGGTGTCGATGAAGAGGTAACTGAACATTCAAATCACGACCCAGCGAACTGTTTTTTTTAGGATTATGAGTTTCAACGAATTGCCCCAACTGCTATTGGAAGTGTTTCTGTTGGTGGCCCTAGGGCTTACATTCATCCGAAAATAACAGCCTTTGCTTCCTCGGTAATCGTTGCAGAAGTGCTTCTATCAATTTCCTTATTTCAGGACGTTAACTTAACTTGTAAAGTCGAATCTCAATCAAAGTTTACATTGTTCTGGTACAAGGGCAACGAGAAAATCGGCGGACCTCTCTTTTACCAAATGACAGACACTGCTATATGGACTCTTCACGAAGTGTCCATTCGTGATCGCGGAGAATACTCTTGCGTTGTTATCAGTGACAATGGAAATCATTCTGCAAAAACATTTTTGGAAACAAGAGGTTTGAGATCTGATTTCATTCAGTTCATCTAACTGTTCTTCAGAGTCTCCTCCTTTGATTATTGGGCTCAGAAATGTTTCTGTTCCTCTGGGACATCCAGCATTCCTTCACTGCCAAACACAATCTTCGAACAAAGTTGAAATTCGCTGGGTTCGTCATGGAGTTTCTGTGCTTTCGGGTCCAAATACAGTCATATATCCCAATGGAACTTTGCGTATTCATCAAACTTCACGAGCGGATTCCGGAGGATATGAGTGTCAAGCGCGTAACACTGGTGGAATGATTAGCCAATCGTTAGTTGTGAAGGTATGTAGTGAAATTTTGAGTATTCTATATATGCGTATACCATCATAGGTACTTGAACTACCAAAAGCTTCCATATCTCCAACATCTGTATATTTCGTTCCTCATACTCCATTCAACATTTCTTGTTTCGTGCAAGGAGATCCTAAGCCGGAAACTCATTGGTTCCAAAATGGAAGAAGAATTAGTCCTAATCATAAGTACTTCATAAACTTTAAAAGTAATATAAAATTTGTATTTCAATCTAATTAATGTTTCATAGATGATTTACTCGTGCGTGATCCGGATGACACAGACATTGGACAGTACGAATGTAGAGCTGTTTCTCCTGCTGGTGTTCATGCTGAATCAGCACAAGTCATGAAAGCTAGTAAGCTGATCTCAATAAAAGTCAAATTAATAATGTATATATTCAGTTCCTCCTCGAGTTGAACTCTCTCAGTCAAAATCAATGATTGGAAGAGGTGATAATATTACCTTTGAATGTAGAGTACTTGATGGAATGCCTGTTCCTTCTCTCCAGTGGTTTAGAAATGGTAGAGAACTACTACACAGTAGCAATGAATATATCAGAATTGCGGGACGTCATTTAACTATTCTGGTACTGCAGCGAAGAAGCTAATACTGTTGATTATGATATTTGACAGGGAGTTCAAGAAAGCGATGGTGGTTCTTACTCCTGTGTTGCTGAAAATATGGCTGGAAGAGATATTGGAGTTGCCCAATTGACAGTTGGAAGCATGCCATCGATCGCATCTTCACCAGAAACTGTGCGAGTGAACATAGAACGAGGAGTACGATTATATTCATCTTTCTCATTCTAAGTATTGACTTTTTCTAGACCAATCTACAATGTAGAGCTATTGGTAACCCACGTCCCAGAATCGAATGGCAAAGAGATGGTGTGCCTTTGCAACAATTGAACAACCCAAGATATGTTATCGCTGATGATGGAAACTTAATGATTACTAGTATGTTTAAGACTTGGCTTCTCTTTTTTATATTATGTAATCTTAGATGCTCAGTTAGAAGATCAAAAAAGGTTTACTTGTATTGCTAAGAATGAGTATGGCCAGCAATCTAAAACAACTATGGTGATGGTCGTTGGGCTAGGTAAGATGGGTAAACTGCCTTCACCTATTTGTTGATTTTAGTATCTCCCGTTTTGGGACATGTACCTCCTGAAGAGCAATTAATAGAAGGAGAAGATTTGAGACTATCTTGTGTTGTTGTATTGGGAACACCTAAGCCAACAATCCAATGGTTCAAAGACAATCAGCCATTAGTGGAGACAGAATCTCTTGTGGTACGATTGTATTTCTATTTCGACTAAAAACGAGTTATGGTTTTTTAGATAGAAGGTGGAGGGTCTTCACTTCTTCTTCGCAATGGTAATCCACGCGATGAAGGAAGATATACTTGCGCTGCAATCTCACCAGCTGGCAATGCAACGATCAACGTTAACGTTCAGCTCATAAGTAAGACTTTTTGCTCTGTGTGCCTCAGCATACTTTTTTTTTACTTCAAAAACTTTTTTTGTTGTTGCTCCGTGTGTTGTGAAAGAGTGTGATAGATGGAAAAGTCAAATACGTATTCTTTTCTGTCGGTTTCTGTTTGGTTTTTCTATATCTTCGGCTTATATATGACGTACGTACTTGTCTTTTACTCCGATCTGCTCTAACACACAGTTTCCATAACTCATACGTTGAGTACGGTAACTTGAATAGGCTACTGTATTCAAATGAGGCAACAATACTTTTCGTTTGAAAACAATCTAGTGTACTATGTTTTGTTTGATTCATCTTTTGATCCTCCGAAACACCTCTGTCTGTTTTTGTCTTCTGCATGGTTGTTTGATTGTTCAGAGAAGCCAGAATTCGAGCAACTGGACGGTGAACCGTTCTTGGAATCAGGAGAGATTGCTGTCAAAGAAGGATTACCTACAAGCATTCCATGTAGAGTTAAAGGAACACCTACGCCAACAGTTACATGGTCATATGATGGACGTCCAATCAGCATCAATAATAAAGAATATACAATCACGGTAATAAGAATACTGTAGGAATACAGTAGATTTCAAGTTCAAACTGACCACTGATGTTTGCAGCAAGATAATACTCTCATTATTCATTCTCCCAAAAAGATCAATCAAGGACGATACACATGCACAGCAATGAACCCAGCAGGAGAAAGTGATCAAGTATTTTTGAAACTTTTTTAATTTCAATACACAAATCGTTAAGTCGATCTCGCTGACTGTTATTGAGAAGCCTGTTATCGCTCCAGGACAATCATCATTCAACTTGATTCAAGGAACTCCAGTTCGCATCCCTTGTAATATAAAGACAGATCCTATGCCAACAATTGTTTGGTACCTGAATGACAAGGAGTTTATCGATGGAACAGTTGATTCTGATGGAGCTCTGATCATCGATGACGTTAACGAAATTCATAAGTATCGACTTCTATTTGAGTTCATCATTCTGAAACCGATTACAGGGGTAACCTTCGATGCTTGGCTGAAAATGATGCAGGTTCTGATGAAAGAGTTATTAGCTTAACTGTGCATACAACGCCAATCATCGATGGAAGTGGCCAGGTTGGGCTATTCAAAAAATTTCCAATTCTCGAATCGTAATTAATTCAGACAATTTTAAAAACTGCTCACGTGAACGATACAGTTGTTCTCCCGTGTCCCGCTCGAGCCCAACCACCACCGATTAGAATTTGGAGTTATGAAGGACAAGATTTATCTGAATATGAAGTCATTCCAGTAAAAAACCTACTTATTATTCAATCTAGCTTTTTAACGTTTAGCATACAGTTTCTGAAGATGGAGAACTAATTCTTCCGTCCGTTCAGCTAGATTTCGGAGGACACTTCACTTGCTTAGTTTCTAATCTCGCTGGAGATGATTCAGTGACATATAGTTTGGATGTATGTTAACGATCAAAAGCTTATTCTGTAATACATTCTAACAGGTTCAAGAGAAGCCAAAGATTATATCCGAGACACCAGGAACGATTGATGTCGTGAAAGGCTTAACTCTTGAAATTCCTTGCAAAGCTATCGGAACTCCTGAACCAGAGAGAACTTGGGAAAAAGATGGAATTCAGATATCGCCTGATGAATCGTATAACATTGACTCTGCTGGTACCCTCCGCATAATGAACACACAGAAGAAGCATGCTGGTCCATATACTTGTGTCGTTAAGAACGGTATGGGCACTGACAGTCGAGTTACAAATGTTGTTGTTCAAGGTTAGCTTACTAAAGCAAAAACTTATCATAACTATATCATTTCAGAGCCACCACAAATTCTCACAACAACTATTTCAAACTATACAGCTGTAGAAGGAGATATGGTATTGCTTTCTCATAATTCGAAAACTTTCTTTTCTCACTATTTGCAGGTGGAAATTCGTTGTCATGTTTCAGCCTACCCTCAGGCAATCATTCAGTGGACACGCAAAGGAGTGCCTGTCACAGAGAACACACCCGGAGTTCGCATTCTTAATGGTAGTTCATAAGTACACATATGTATGTATAAGTGTTTCTTTACAGGTGAAACTCTCGTAATTGATGAGGTAAACAAGGATGATGCTACCTTCTATACTTGCAAAGCCACAAATCCTGCGGGTAAAGCTGAAAAAGTTATCAGGTTATCTGTCATCGGTTAGTTGCATATGAACAGAGGTTTACATATCAATTCAACTTATAGTTCCTCCTGAGATACCTGACCAGGATGAAATTATACATGAATCAGTTCGCATTCAGACACCTTTTGCCCTGTACTGTCCTGTTATCAGTACTCCATTGCCTACTGTAAGACATAATTCTAGCTTTTTAATTACTGAGCTTTTTCTCTTTCTTATCTAGATCACCTGGCATTTGAATGACAAGCCTATCGCTGAAGGAGATGTTAACATTGTTCTATCTGAAGATAAGCGTAGAATGCATGTTGTTGAAGCTAGAGAAAGAGATGCTGGTGTTTACAAGTGCATAGCACGCAACAGTGCTGGTGAAAGCAGTAAAACCTGGGATATCGAAGTTTTAGGTTGGAACTCATTAAATTCATAATGCCTATTACACTGTTCTTTTCAGTTCCTCTAAACATTGACGAAACTGAATGGAAACGAAAGGTTACGGTACTTGCGGGAGATGAAGTATAGCGAGTGCAAAATACTAGTAAACAATAATGTAAATACAGGTTGAGCTTGGATGCCCAGTTAGCGGATTGCCAGCTCCAACAATCACATGGGTTGTTGATGGTCATATGCTTGGAAAGCACGATGAAATACGAGGCATACGCCTCGGTGAATCAGGCGATACTGTAGGTTATCAGGTCGTAAGTATATCTATTATGATTTTCATAGTTGGTCATCAATACTGCTGATGTCGATCATAGTGGCCAGTATTCTTGCTTGGCATCTAATAAGGCAGGAAGTCTGGATGTAGATGTTTCACTCACTGTACTAGGTATGATAAGGCAAAGTAAAAGCTATCCATGTTTTCTGTTCAGCTCCTCCACGCTTGGGAGACGATGAGAAAATGGAAATAATTTCTGGAAAAGCTGCTACTTTATCTTGTGAAATAAAGGGTGAAACGGATGACAAGAACACTATCTCATGGAGACTGGTATAATACTATTCACATAGATTTATTATTTGAACCTGTATATATCTTATAGAACAACTCCAACATAAATTTAGCCAATGTTCAAGCTCCACAAGGTGGTCAGAAAATCTTTATCGTCGACGCTGCTCCATCGAATGCTGGTATTTACAGCTGTATCGTGCGAAATTCTGCTGGAGAAAGTCAGAAAAAAATTAATCTTACTGTACTAGGTATAAAAGACAAAACGAGAAAGTGGTTAAACTCACTGTGATTGAAGAGCCTCCTGAGTTTGTGGAAACAGAGTATGATCAAGATGTTCAAATAATCGCTGGAAGTGCATTGGCATTAGCTTGCTATGTTAAGGGCAATCCCAGACCAAACATTGAATGGAGGAAAGATAGTGAAACGATTGTCGAAAAAGTTTTCAGGTTTAGTAACTATTTTCAATTATTGAATCGTTACTATTCTTTCAGTGATGACGGTCAAAAACTCAATATGGAGAGTGTTAAGCCTGGAACAAGTCGTTATACTTGTTTAGCATCGAACAAAGCTGGATCAATTGCAAGAGACTTCTTTGTACAAAGTGTCTCTCCTCCAGAAATTGAAGATGCTGGTGATCGCAGATTAATCGAAGTCATGGAAGGCCAGACTGCTCGTCTTGAATGCCCTGTTGTTGGTGAGGCCGAAATAGAATGGCGAAGACAAGGATCAAAAATTGATGTAAGATCTGTGAAAAATACCTTCGGGCTTGCAACTCCAATTTCAGAGCTCACAATCAAATATTGTCGTTGACAATAAGGTTTTGTTGCTTGTCAATGCCCAAAAATCGCATGAAGACACTTTTACTTGTATTGCAAAGAACAGTGCTGGAGAGGCTGCTCGAGACTTTGAAGTTACCATACTGGGTTAGTTCACTTTGACAGTTAATGTTAATGTTGTCCGCCTTCAGTACCTCCCAAAATCAAAGGCTCTTTGGTTGACGATATAGATATAGTTGAAGCATCTGAAATGAAACTTGATTGTGACTATGATGGAAGCCCAACACCTAATGTCATTTGGACCAAGGATGGTATACCCATCCCTGACAAATCAAAGGTATTGAAACACAGTGTTTTCAATGCATTATTTTTGCTCCTAGCTCTTGAATAACAACAAAACTTTGGCTCTGTCTGGTATTGAAGCCGAAGAGGCTGGAGTTTACAAGTGCTCTGTTCAAAGCAAAGCTGGATCAGCGGAAAAGACTTTCAATGTTCATGTCATTGAACGTCCCGACATTGTTGGAAACCATGAAATTACAGAAGTTAAAGTTGGTTTTCTAAATAATGGCTGATATTCATTTTATTATCGTAGGTTAACATCACGCGTCCAATAACTCTGGAATGCCCTGTCAAGAATCCCATCGGAGTTGAAATTTCGTGGGCTAGACATCAGTTGCCGATTGTTCCAGGAACTGAAAACGTGCAAGTGAGTTACTTTTCACATTGATTTCACTATTGATTTTTGAGATCCTTTCTGGTGGAAGACACTTGCACATTCCTGCTGCTCGCTTAGAAGACGAAGGAACGTTCACGTGTACTGCTAAGAACGAAGCTGGTGATACATCTCGAACGTATAAGCTGATTGTCCAAGGTTGTCTTTTTGTTTTACATACAGCTTAAACGGTATTTTTAGTTCCTCCAACTATCATCAACGAAGGAGGGTCTTTCAATTTGATCGAGAATAGCTCTTTAGTTCTTCCCTGTGAAGTTGAGGGTACTCCTAAGCCTACCATTCTATGGACTAAGGTTTTTATCTTGTTCATACTCTCTTATTTGGTTTTTTAAGGATGGAGAACCAATAACAGATTTAAAATCTGTTGAAGTTTTGTCAGAAGGACAACAGTTTCGAATTATTCATGCGGAAACAGCTCACAGAGGTTCTTACATCTGCCAAGCCAAAAATGATGTCGGCAGTTCTGAAATAAGCTTCGATGTTGACGTTATAAGTAATACTATCCTGTTTGGAAACTATTGACAATTTTCGTCTTTAAGCTCGTCCAGCTGTTGTGAGAGGTATAAAAGATACTGTGGAAGTTATACAAGGAGAAACAGCTCTCTTCAAATGTCCAATTGCTGATAAGAATTTCAAAGGAGAAATTACTTGGTATTCTACTGACTACGTGAGATTCGTTTCACAAATATATTTTACAGGTTATATGATTTCAAACCAATATCCTTCAATGATCGTATTTCAAAATCTCAAAATGATCGTCGTTTGAACGTTCAAAAGTAGTTTACGAGAGAATTTCGTTTAATCATTTTCAATCTTGAAGGGCAGAAACAAGTGATGAAGGAGGTTATAGCTGTAGGATCAAGAACGATGCAGGCGAAACACGAGTGGACTACAAATTGGTTGTTTTAGTTCCTCCCTCTATCATCATGCTCGATAATAACAAGAACAGGTTCTCTAGATTCAAAATTTTCGTTGTTTGACTCATTCTTTCTCAGAACTGTTATTGAGAACAGTACCATCACCTTATCTTGTCCAGCAACAGGTAAACCCGAACCAACTATCACATGGCTCAGAGATGGTCAAACATTGTTCCCTAACAACATCAGTGATGTTCTCAGCTCAGCAGAACTCAATGGCAATGAAATCAAGATACCCCGAGTCAAGGTGAATCATATTAACGTATAATTCTAAATATATTTCGTAGTTGTCGGACGCTGGAAGATTCACATGTGAAGCATCTAATAAAGCAGGCGAAGCTGAGCAAGATGTTTTCTTGAACGTTATCAGTAAGCCAATTATTAGAGACTGTTTCATCATGCTTTATCCTTTCAGCTCCACCAAAAATCATTAAGGAAGGAATCCCGTCTGATCATAGTGTGGCTCAACATCACAAGGATTTCACTATTTCTTGTCCCGTGTATGGAACACCTACTCCTGTTGTCACATGGCTTAAGGTTCGTTATTGATACCAAAGCTCCACACGCTGTCACGTAACAAAAATTCTTCTTAATTTCAACTATGTAAAGATTCTCTGATTCATCTCAATATTTCAGGGTGGTCGTCCACTTGCAGACGCTCATCTACGCGTATCGGCTAATGGTCAGAAGTTGTATCTCAAAAATCCCGGAAAAGATGATGCTGATAGGTTTTGCTAAAGTGAAGTACGCTAATGTAATGAGAACAATTACAGATACACTTGTGTTGCTAAGAATGCTGCTGGAGAAGACAAACGTGATTTCAATATCAATATTCTTGGTTTGATGTCTCAAGATTTCAATTAATAACTTCATTGCTTTTACAGAACCTCCTCAGTTCATTGGACCAAATATCATGAACAGACATATGGTTAATGAAGGTAAACCAGCGGTTATCAATTGTCCTGCTGTTGGATCTCCGGCTCCCGAAATTACATGGTTACGTGATGGAGAGCCTCTTCAGCCATCTTCCCGATTTGTTCTACTAGATGGTGGACGTCAATTACAAATAAGTAACACGCAAGCAGACGATAAGGGAGGGTTAGTTAATTTTCTTTATGAAAATGGATTGGTTTTGTGTTTTCAAGATATACCTGTATCGCAACGAATATTGTTGGAACTGCTGACTTGGAAACAAGTCTTGAGGTCGTACCTACTCCTCACATTCAAGGAGATAAATTCGAGAAAATTGAAGTGATCGAGAAAAACCGACAAGAACTGCATTGTGAGGTATGACACTCTCTTCGTATTTAAATTTAAAAGAGCAAGTTAATTCAGCTTAACGATACCAGCTCGAACGTGGATATCGAATGGCAAAAAGCTGGACAAACAATAACTTTGGATGCTCTTCGAGGAGATCGCTATCTTCAGGTTTTATCTCTCTCGGGTTTCAAAGAATATCATGCTTACTTAGATCCAACAGAACGGACAGCGTCTTCATATACTATCTGCTCGTACAACTGACACAGGAAGGTTGATGCGTTCCACTCCTTCTCTTCTAAACTTCGTAAATTTTCAGATACTCCTGTATTGCAAGAAATCCTGCTGGAGAAGCTAGGAAAACTTTCGAATTGAAAGTTCTTGGTAAGTTCACAATGATAGAAGCCTTTAAACTTATTTGTTTTCAGTCCCTTCTGTCATCTTGGAAGAAACATCATCAGAAGTCTTACAAACAGTTATTCCTGGATCTCGATTATCTCTCACATGTGACGCAGAAGGCATTCCCGCTCCTGAAGTACAGAGAGAAACCAAAATACTATTGGATATCTTCATTTTTTTAGATATTATGGACAAAAGGTGGACAGCCAATTAAAGAAAATGATGAAAATCGATTCTTCAACCAAAAAGAAACGCTCATTCTCAATACTGTGGATGACAGCGATGCTGGGGAGTATCAATGTTCAGCCATTAATAAAGCTGGAAATGCTTCCAGAACATTCGTTGTTCGTCTCACAGGTAATAAAAACAAGATATAAAAGGAAAACAGTGGTTTAAGGTCCACCTGTTCTTGATCAGGGTCATGAAGCAATGGATGTTAAAGTAGATGACAGTTTAACATTAACTTGTAATGTTGTTTCTGGCACTGGAAACCTAAGCTATTCCTGGATGATTGACGGCCGCCCTGTTACCAATGGTGAACACAGCTCTACTGTTCAAGTATTTATTCAATTTTATAATTGATATAAGTATACTTTAAAGATATCTGATCGACGTGTTCAAGTTACAAACGCTCGTCTTAGTGACAGTGGTCAGTACGTTTGTATTGTTCGAAATGAAGCTGGTGAGGCTCGTAAAACATTCGATTTGGCTGTACTCGGTAATTCATATCACATGATTCGCGTGATTAAATAATGTTTATATATTTTCAGAAGTTCCTCGATTTTTGGATATGACAAACACAAATCCTTCCATCATCATTGGTCGTCCACAAACTTTGGATTGTTCCGTGTCCGGAACTCCCAAACCAACAATTACATGGATGAAGGTTAGTCTCATTTCGTTTCCGTTTCAGCTTGAAATGAAGAAAAAAATTAAAAAGAAAATAGTTTGAAAGAGGAAAGGTTGTTTACTTAAATGCTGGAAGAGAAAAAAGGTTTTCATTCTCTGAAAACACAAAGCATGACCAGACAGACAAGCCTCTCTGAAAATTGGAGTAAAAAAAAAAAAAGAAAAATTTTCATAAAAAATTTATTAATCGTCCTTTCTATTCTTCTGTTTTCTTTGTTTCATTACGAAACAAAAAACCAGAAAAAGAATAAAAGGAAATTTAAATATTTTTATAAATATAGTTCATAATCAATAGTAACCCGTAATCACGTCCTCACAGGAGTTTCTTCAAAAGGCTTAATATACCACCAAATATGTAAAGTTTGAGGAAATTCAGCTCATTATTTGATTTCTTTCCACAAATAAGAAAAAAATATAAGAAAAATAAAAAGACTTTGACTGAGTGAAAAATGCTTTTTCTCGAAACGAAAATGGAGTTGGAAGAAATGGAAAAAAAAAGTTTTTTCGTTGAAATTTCGATGTCGTTAATGACTGAAAAATCGAAAGGATTTCATGAATATTTCTTATTTTTTGCTTCATATTGATTGTTAGGATGATCAGATGATTAGAGATTTCTATTCGTCTGATTAGCTCATCGCTTCATGCCTAATGTGGAAATTACATTAAATATATAAATAATAATGAGAAGCCAATAAAAAATGGATTAATAGATGTGGCTGAGCAGACACCGTACTTATTACACGTTTTGCCTCCGGCACATTCTATTCCAACACGGAAAATAGGTTTTTGAAATTGATCCATGATTTTATATTTACGGTATGCATTTTGGCAACGACGGTTTGCAGGCTTCTGAAATGAATTATAATATAATACAAGAAGCTTCAAATTCGAAAGTGTTTTCCTATCACTACTTCTATAGGCTTAACATAAATCTGACAAATCGCTTATTGACTCTCAAACATCTTATATAAGTTGCTCAAGCTCAAGAATAGCAGAAGCTCCAAATGAGAAGATATAAGATTCAATCTTCTCTCTTATTTTTGCTTTTTTCTTTATTTTCTCTCTCTCTCTCTCCCTACTTCTTCTATACTCTTCATCTCTCCTTGTTCCCCAGACTCAAATGGCCAATGCTTTGAAAATTGATGGCGTTGCCTCATCTCCAAACATGGAAATGAGATGGCCAGCTAATGGTTGACTGGATGAACGAACAAGCTGCTGTTTCCGACTAAATCGTCGCAGCTTTCTAGCTTTCTGACAGCTTAGTCTAGCTTAGTGATCGTTCATGAGCCGAATAAATCTGAGATTGAGATAAAAATTGTGAAAGTTATATTGAGAGAATGTGGAAAAGATATGGACTTTTATTTTTCTCTCTTCCATCTGAAGATACCTACTAATATGAAAAGTGCTAGAGAGAAGACTCAAATGCATTTTGTATTTTCAAACAGCAAAAGCATATGAAAGTATTTGCTCTCTCTTATTCAGAGGTCAGATGAAATAATTAAGATTGAAATAGAAATTGGAGCAATTTGTGTCAAAAACACTGGATAATCAGTCAAGTTGTTACTTTTTTTTCTTGTCTCTCAAAGCTACGGTTGTATCAAATAGTTTTTCTTTCAACATTGTCTTCGTCGTTTCAACAACAAGAAGAAGGAAAGAAGAACTCATTTCGTAATTCAGAAAGGCATTTTGTTGTTGTCTAACCAAAATGAATAATGATAGCCAAATAATTGGCCTTTACGGACAGAGGTGGGAAGATACTAATTGAAAACTTTACTATTTCCTAGTTTTCGCATTCCTCTCAGTTTCTATATAGATATTTCTTTCTATAGCTTAAAACATACCAAATTAAAATCATAACAGCATAATTGGCATCGATCTTCTGACGCAAATCCGGTGTCCTGATCAATAGCCGCACAATCACAAACCATCAAATGAGAGGCAAATCGAGCACAGGGATTTTCACATGTATTGTCTACACATAACTTTTCCAATCTGAAAATAAGCAAATTCAGTTTGTCAGAAGAGAAAACTTTTTTTTTTCATAAAAAACGTATTTATTGGCTCCCAAATCATCCATGAGAATAGCTTATTCGACATCCATTTGAACATCATCAGGCTATTGCGTGTCTATCACCCATTTCGGTTAACTTTCATTCCAAAATCATTTGATACTTCATAAGCTGAGAAGATTATTCAAGATGACTTTTGAATTATTATTATGATATTCATGTCACACTCAATGACTACACTGAGTTCAAACATCGATTTCACAAATTTTATCTCGCTCTTACACACCGTAAAAATGTATGAACGAACACATGTTCTTGGATTCGTCATTACCCCTATTCGCCCTGAGAACATAAGAGATGTGTTCCGCAAAAGTTTCTTCCTTTAATAGACATATGAAAATAGCAGTAAGTCCCTCGGTGTTTAACTGCCAATGACAGGTTTGAAGGATAGATAATAGCTATGGACTCGCTGAATAGAGAAAGAAGACGAAGAGCAAACTTGGAGAAAAATAGAGAGAAAGAGTGAATCTAAAAATGAGAAAGAGAGAAATATAGTTAGTGAGAGAATGAACATGAAAGAGAAAATGTGTGAGAGAGGGGGGTGTTCATGCCAAATGTGCACTTGAAGAACAACCTCACACATGCTTTTGCATGTAAAATTTATTCAGAAGATCTCTTTAACGTCTTTCTCTGGCTTCATACTCAAATTCATTGAGTAGTTAAGAAATCCCGTGGAGAAAAGCTTACGATTTGAACAATTGTTCATAAAAAAAATTTTTTCTCGCCTTAGACTTCATAAAATCTCGTTGAATACAACTAATTTCAAAAGAGAAGGCAATTATCGGGAAATAATGGAATAGAAAAGAGAATAATTTTGAAAAGAATTGCATAATTTGAGTTCAACCGTTCTATCTCCCTCTTCTGCACTTCTAAGCAATAATTTGCGGAAATATGAAAATGCGTTAACACCCATATGGTGTGCGAAAAATTCTAATCCTCAGTTCGTTCTATTAACACAAAGTGCTTTACAGTCGTTTCACTTAAAAAAAAATGATTTTCAACAGTGCAAGCTCAAGAGGAAAGCGAGCCTAACTAGATTGAGCAGCGATTGTTATGCTTTTCAATTATATTGTTCGATACAATATAGTTTTGCATTAAATGAAAATCTTGAAGAGAGACGGGGATTCTTTCCTGTACCCTCAACATGCTTGCTAAGAGTTTTCTTTGTTATTTTTCGGAGCAAAAAAAAACAAATTTCAGTTCGTCCCTTCTCAAAAACTTTCTGCTCTTTCACTAAATTTTCTTTCGATCACTCTCTTCAAGCCTAATAATTACCTCTCAAAAGCCAATCGAGATTGATAATCCTTTTTTCTTTAACTGACTAGGGATTAAGAGCAGACAAACAGCTCAATTTTTAAGCAATCTGGCTAATTCATTAAAATCAATCTTCCTCTTTCTCCCTGCTGTCCTTATTTTCTTTTTTTGTTGAACAAAAAAAGGAAAGAAAAAGTTTAATTGAACTTACTTTCTATCACAATATGATCCCGCTTGCTTAGTATGACAGACGGAGTTTGAGCATTTCCCATTTATACATAAACGAGCTGAATCTGTGTCATCACAAGGTAATCCTTCTAACTCTTCTCCATGCATACGACATCTGGAGCAGGCTTCACGTTCCCATCGCTCACCGTTCGGTCTGAAAACAATTCATGTTCGAAGAATATCCTTTGAAACCGAAGTTATTTACGAAAAAGCTAATTGAAATGGTTTGAGCTGCTTCCCTTATTCTATAGGAGATTTATTTGTTTAATTCTTCTATGAACGTGTCGGTCAGAACCTTCAGCTATCTATTCACTTTCTCTCCCATTTTCTGTTGCCCTCCTCTCGTTCTTTAACTGACTTGTACCACCCGCAGCTCTGTTCAACAGGCAACTGGCTCTTACTCCTCCATTCTCTTTCTACTCTCAGGCTCTCACAAAATGCCAAAGGGTGATGTATTGGCAGTATGTTAAGCAGAGACGAAGCCTAAATGATTCATTGGTCCATCACGTCGATAAAAAGATACGCTGTCCGTTCGTATTTCTGTTCGTCTGAACCTCATTGTCCATTTCTCATCTTGTGAGATAAAGCTTAACTTCACACATTTACAACTGAAGCGAGTCAAATGCTATCATCAAAGAGATATCGGACAATTGAATTTCGGAATTAAAAGCTAATTTCCTCTGAGAAGAATCATTTTGGGTCTGCTTGAATTCTGGTGACTAAAAAGATAAACGAAGCTGGGCTGTTTATGTTTCTTTCTACTTTGGAGACGGAAATCCCTCACTATCTCATAACTTTACTGTAAAATTGATCAGTAGAGTGTTCTTTAAAGAGGAGAACATACACTACTTACTTCTATAATCTCAGTAGTTAAATGACACATAAAACTAAATGGAAATTGGATAAAATAACGAATAAAAACGTCATTATACAGAGAGAGAATACGGATAGAGAGAGTATGAGAGTGAGAATTGAGCATCGAAAAGGAAAAAGCTTAGCTCAATTACAAGACTTGACGTTAAAGATTAGAATTACAAATGGTAATCCTTGACCTTTTACCCATCCTGGTCTAATCATATTCTATCCATATTCAATCATCTTCCTTATGTTTGTTGAAGATATGTGTTTCTTTTTTCCTCAAAATATGCCCTCAGTTTGCCCGTCATATGTTGAAGGCACCTCTTTTCCAAATTTCAAAGTGCTGTCGTTATAACAAAAGCAGAGGATCGATCAGCCATCCCAAATATATTCACTAGAAAGATTGTTGGTTGACCATATTTCTCTAGAGTTCACTCCATCTCCTTCTCTATCCTATCATTTTGACTCTCACATTCAAGTTGACTCTTGTAGCTTAAGCTGTATGGATATGCGTGAGAACTAATTCGAAACTCAGTTCATCCAAGACATGAGATCATGTGGAGATTTAGAAATGCTTCTAGTACAAGTTCATTTCCATTAATGGATAGACCGATTTCATTGGTTTTGAAGAAAACTGAAGAATGGGAAAGCAGTTCAAAACTCAAGCATTTCTAATATATTTCTTCTTTCACAAGGACTTCAACTGGTAGTCAGCCGTGTGCGTTCGAAGAAAATGAAATGAACATGGGAGAACAGTGAAAAGGTTCAGATAAATTGTTACCTCAAAATGTTATGATGATGAGCTGGAAAGCATTGATGATTTGCGTTTCCACAGCACAGGTAGCAATAGTTATCTTCTTCCACATCACATTGACATTCTTTCATTCCTCCTAACGAGCAAGCTGAGACGCATCTGCAATATTTAAGTTTTCAGTAAAGGAGAAGCCTTGTTTTCCAATTTTAGTCTTTCTTTTCTTTTTTTTTTGTGAGAAGGAGAGAAATAAGTATTAAAGTTTATTTCATTGTTTAGCTCAGAAAGTAGGAGAAAGAGAAAAAACTTCTTTCAGACAAAGTACAGCAATTTATAAAAAAATTATAATTTGCTTCAGCTTTTTTTCATAAAAATAACACCTCCAAGGTCAATTGTTAGATTTTTGCTTCGAAACAACTCACAGCAACAATGAAGAGAGGGATTTTCGTTCGTTAACTAGCTATCCAATAAGGATATTGAAGAGCTTCTGAACGTTTCTTCACACAACGTGAAGATCATTCGAAAAGGAACATTCATGAGAATATTGAGGTTTTTCGGGGTCGTATAACCTCATATCGGAGAAGTACTTCTGCCAAGGATTGAATATGGTTTTCTCCAATAAAAATTCAAAATCAGAAATTTGCGGAGTTCGAATTGCAAATTGTCCCGTTTCAAAGTAACAAAAGTTTCAGTGACTTTTAGTTTTTGTATGTTTCATGAGATCAAGCAAACAAATCATAAATGAGTCCTGAGGTCTAAGCATGAAAAATATTAGTTGCAGTGAGTGAAGAGCAGTGACAACTAGAACGTCTTTGTTTGTTGTTGTCCAGCAGTTTCACATCTCAGATTTCAAATTCACATTATCGTCTTGTCATGATCTTAAAATCAATTATTCCCCAGAGGTCACTTTCTTCATCTAAGCACACAAATATGGATGTAGACGTTTGAGCTTTATGGGCTCTAGAATACAGCATGGTTTCGGGGAAACAGCTAGCTAGATAACTATTGTTTCTTCCACTCTCTTTCTGTTTTCTTTCAATTCTTTTCTTTTTCTTTCATCCCTCTCTCTCACATCCCCTCCAGCTTGCTTCCCTCATTTTCATAGTAGTTGTCAACGTCTTCTTCTTCTTCTTTGTCTTCTTTTCGTTATTCTCGTAAAGCTGGCCAATGGACATTTTTCTCAGTTTGTCAAAAGCGCAGCAGCCCATGAATTGGGGTTCAGGTGCGTTGGCAATATTAGTCACCGGAACATGAAGCCTTAATGCCCAGAAGACTCTTTTGTGTCACCTTTTGAGACTTTGAGCACGATTCATGTGATTCGTCTCACCTTACTTCCCATATATCTCAAATTTACTCGCTTCATCACATTCAAACCGAAATTGCCAAAAGACAGAGTGATGGAGAGTGACAACAGAATGATGATGGAGGTTTAAACAATTATTAATCGATGACAACAAAGAACAGAATTTATGAATTGAATGACAGACATTTTAATGAAAAGCTCATTCGCATCTAACATGTTATTCTCATCCCTACTATGTAAGAAGTTAAGAGCAAGCATCGTTTTAAATTTTCAAAACGTAAATAGCTACTTCCGTATTAAAGACTGTTTTAAGCCTGATCAGACTCTCTTCGTCTTTGTCTCTAGAAGGAAATGACGAGTAGTTACACATTGCCCCCACAAAAAAAAGCGGAGAATAGAAAACTCAAAAAAAAGCAAATATGGATTTGTTTCGTGAAGAAAAAAAATATTATTTGGTTGTTTCAATGTATAGGCTTTAGTCAAGAAGAAAAAATGCTTTGTTTCCCTTGGTAACCAAGAAGATTAGCCCCTTACTTACTCTGAAGCTGACTCGTTGTTCAATGCAGTTTGTGTCTCTGCTATTCATACCGAATTCACCTCATGCTCTCACGCTTGTTTTCGACTTTAAATGAACAAAAAAACAAAAATAAAGAAAAGAAGATGAAAGTAAGGGTCGGACGACTATAACTTGAAGAAAACTAAGAGGGTAAGCTGAAGCGCAACCGTTCACAACGTTCAACAATGTTCTCAATGACTTCCTGCCATCGTCACGTGATGCGATTCACGTACAAAATTAGCATCCAAGCTGGAAGCAAAACAAATCTTTTCTACGTGTATTTTCTACGTGAGAAAGTTATACGGTCAACAATTGACTTCTTATGCTTATTCTATATTTAAATTATATATTTTTCAGTAACGGAAATTGTGAAAAATATATTTTCCATTTTTGACTTATAACCAAGATTAATGCAAATCTGGAAATGCCCTCCTAAAGGAACTGAGCTTAACCATTTAGTCTCTCTAATTCTCAGCTTCGTTTGTCAGCAAGACGGCTAACCATAGTTATACGGATATCCGTTACGACCTGGAAAGCAAGAACGAAGAAAAATGTCCCAGCTAGATGGGAAAAGAGAGAGAGAGAAAGGGTGCAAGAGACAGAGCTAGAAAGAGAACCAAGGCTGGATAGCAAACTACGAATAGTAACGAAGTCAAAGTTTCCAGCTTATGACAACAAATTTTAGTGATATGAAAAGAATCCAATTTCCTATCAATATTTCAAATTATTCTGTCAATTTGTGCATGTTGTCCTTTTTCACATTAACGGACAAGCCATTTGTCCCCAAATGGCCTTTGCTTCAATGCCCCAAGAGTTCAAGTTCCTTTCTCTCCAATACTTTCTCTCTCTCTTATTTCGTTTTTAATATGAAGTAGTTTCTCTCTCTTTCTCTCTCTCAGTTTCTCAGCTTCTCCGACTCATTCTCTGTCACTATCACCATGTATTTTGATGAGTAAGCAATAGCGAATGCGAATAAAAGCAAGGTGTCGGCTTTCATGGCTTGCTTCTGCGCTTTGTGACGGATTTAATTCAATTTTTATGAGTGCATTGGCTGGAGAAATACTCATCCCCTTTACATACACATGACATTTCTCTGGCTGTCTCCAACAATCATTTATTGTCTTTTCCAATTTTTTCATTTCTTCCGATCATTCTCTCTTTTTCTCTCTCCCTCTATCTTCCTCTCTCTCTTTTCCCGTCTCTCTCTCTCACTTTCTCTTTTTTTTGGTGTTGAGCTTTTCCTGACCCTCTGTAGACTCCCGTTAGTTCATCCTGTTGGCTCGTGGGAAATTCGATAGCAGCTCCCCAGCGGATGGCTTCTACTATAGAGAAAGATTAACTGCTCAAGTCAAGCTTTCATTCTGACCATTAGCTTCTTCAAATTCAAAATGAAGAAGATGTGACTGTTTTGAGAGAGAGAGAAAAAAGAAAGTTATGAGAGAATAGAGGAGATAGATTCTAATGAAAAAACAAGCTATTGATTATATAATTTTATGAAAAGAAAAGAAGGAAAAGCAATTGATTATCTATTATCCACGTTTCTCTCTCATTGTTCTCTTCGTAAATACTTTGAATTTCCAATTTCTAACCAAAATCAAATTATTGCTTGAAACGAAAGAAGAAAAAGACGATGAAGGAAATAGACGTATAGGTCGCTGTCATCTTCTGGATGAAACCAAAGTTGGGAACAAAAAGAAATGAGCTCAACGTTAGGCATATCATCCATATCCTTAACCTTACTATCTCAAGCTTATATTTTTTCGTCAAAATTATATTAGATGAAATCTATTCCAAATGTTAAACAGATGGATATTGTAGTTGGGATTTCTATTTCGAGGGAAGAATCATGTGCTTTGAATACTAAGTCAAATGAGCTTTAGTTTATTCTTCGTATAAGGAAAATTTACGAACAAAACAGCATTTTGAAGCTGAGAGCATATTTAGAAGGAGGAAAAGAAAGAGAGAGAGAGAGAGGGAGAGAGAGAAAAGAGGGTGTGGAGGGAAAAGAGATTTGCAATCTTTCAGCATCTATTGCTCTCCTTCAAAGTTACAAATTATTCTGATATGAATACATAATTTAAAAGTTATATCTAACTTGTATTGTTAGATAAGCATTACACTGGGCAATCGAATCGCTTATCCTCATCCTTCTCCCTCTATCCGTCTCCCTCTTGTTCAACTTCAATAATCTAATATTCAATTTCTGATGTCTATCAAATGATTTGAATACCAAACGATAATTCTTACACATCACTCACTCACTCAAATTATATGAAACTCATATTTATAAGAAAACGTAATTATTTTTTGTGTAGATCTTTTATTTTGCAGTAAATTACCTAAATTAGAGTATAGGAAAGCCTTCTACATGTCTTTGTTGAGCTTTTCCATTCTCTCTCTCTCTCTCTCCCTATCTTGCTTTCCCTCTCATTCTCTTTCTCTTTTCCTCTATATGTACATATCTTTTTCTTTATCCTCTATTGCTTTCCTCTTTTATCCACAAACCATAAAGAGGAAATCTTTCTCTCTCTTTCCTCCCTTCCCTCCCATTTTCTCTTCTATGACTTGCTCATTTCTCTCATTTTCTTTTTCTCGTTGTATTCTGTTTGAAGGATTACTCTCCACTTTTCTCTTTCACATTGCAAGAGACATGGTTCAACAGCGAAATATTTCGTTTTTCTTTTCTATTCAAAATGTATTCGACATCCCTCTCCCTTCATTCCCATTTTGATCATCATCTGCTGTCTTCAATTCACTTTTTTTTCTCTCTCTCTCTTTTTTTTATCCCTGGGTATTCAGGATGAGGAAAAAAACCTTCTGAAAGGTTTGCAAAAGATGATGATGGTGTTGAGAACGAAGCTCTTTATTTCCATCCTCTCTTAGATCTTAGAAGAATTTGGATGAAGAAAAAAAATAGCTGTTATAATATAGTAAAACAAATGATTGAGAAGCACTACACCTCGAAAATACTTTTTTCAAAATGTTTTGGAAGGTTTATGAGCAGGAAAATTTTTTTTCTGAATTGGAAAGAGGATAAGATGGAAGGAAGTTGAAAAACAACGAGGAACATACAAATATCAAATTAAAGGCATTAAACGATAAACTGATGAGGAATGTTCAAAAGAAAGAATGGAGGAGGACATGGCTCGTACTCCATCCTTTCTTCTGGCCCAATTGAATTGTTTGTCTTTTCGTTTTTGTTCAAAAACATGAAGCTTAAATATGCAACTTACGTTCCGTTTCGACAGACTGTTGCAGCATTTTCAGAACAAATACTATTCTCGACAGTACATGATTGAGCATGTGCTGGCTGACGATGATGTTGAAGATGGTGAACAAGTCTTGACGACTGTTCAGCCATAGATGAAGTTATTAACATAGATAAATAAATATAAAAATATGCTGCTAAACGACGATTTGTTGATGTTACATAGTTTGTTCGTTTTAACTTTGGCAAACTATTTGAAGTAGTAGTAGTAGTAGATGAAAGAATATTCATGTCGTCTAATGATGATTTGTTTCTCCATTTTTGGCACAATCTTTTTCCAACTATTGATGATGTGCTGGATGGATAAGATGGCCATGATGAAGGCTTTAAGCTAGAGCTTGAAGGCTTTTTCATCAATGAAATGTTATCATCACTTTTTATAGTTTGAGCACCAACACCAAAATATGATTTTCGGCGACTGGTGATGGTGGCACAAGAAATATTCGAAATAGTTGATGAATCAATCATGACTCTGTTAATCCCATGTGATAGATGACGATCTCGTCGACGATCCATGTCATTCCTATGTGGACGTGCTCGTCCGCTGCAGCAGAAGAAGCACGTGATGAATGGAAAAGCTAAACGCATATAACATTTTTTCATGAACAAAATTTTTAAGAAAAAAAAGGAAGAAGAAGAAAATGAAGAAATAATGTAATGAGCATGTGGAGACAGAAAAATAGAAAAACTATAGTATAAAAGTTTGGAAAATCAGATGCAGAAGCGAGAAGAAGATGAATTCAATGGCGAGAAAGAGAGAAAAAAATATTTTTTAAACGTTAATCTGGTTATGGCTTCTAAATATTCTAAAGATAGAAATGTAAAAGAGAGAAAAATTAAATAAAACAACACATAAATAGGGGGTTGAGGTCGTATTTCTATGCCGGGAGGGCAGCTGACTGGAGGACGTAAGGATGTGTGAGGAGGCTTGATGGTGCCGGGACACTCACACACAGACACACACACACAGCCTTCTCTCTCACTTTCCTCTGGTTCCTCCTGGTCTCCTCATAGCCTATTGGCTCCGCCCATTTTTCTATGAAACTCCTCCCACATTTGGATTCCTAGATGGATAGGGAGAGAGAAAGAAAGAGAAAAAGAGAGAGAGATAAAGAGAGAGAGTAAGAAAGTGAAATGGAAAATCCAAGAGAAAGAGGGAGATAGTGAAAAAGAGAAAGAAACAGAAATGAGAAAGGGCCAGAAAGTCAAAGAGCTAAGACGATAGTCCTTATAGGGTTAGTTATGAGATAGAATGATGATTATGATGATGTGACTTCATTATATACTGCTAAGTATAAAAAATGTAGCTTCCATAGATGGATATTGAAAAATAAGAGAGAAAAAAAGCTGAAGTAGAATGAGACGAAGGAGAAGTAGATGAAAAGCTCAGAAGACAAACTTACGAATGAAGATAAAGATGAAGAAGGAGAAGAAAATTAATTTTTTCGAAGACAAAAAAAAAAGGAAAGAAAAAAGGGAAGATGTCATTTCATCTGGTCATAAACATGATTTTATTTGTAATGTTTACACGAATATAGATTCTTCTCAAGTTTTTCTTTCTTTTTTAAGTTTGAAATCGTCATAAACATCAAAATATAAATAAAACAATGAAAGAGAAATTATTTGAAAAGCATTGTCAATGTTTTAAAACAGCTTTTTCGTCTTCAACGTTTTGTTTGACAAAAAAAAAGAAAAAATAAGAAAAAAAAAGAGAAAAAGATAAAGAATTGCCGGCCCCAATTTTCCTTTTTGTCCAACCATACGCGGTAGTAATAACGGAAGAAGAAGAAAAAACTTTTTTTTCTTTCTCTCTCTCTATCTCTCTCTCTCTCTCTCTGTGTATGTGTTGAAAAACATATAGAGATGATAATCTCTCTACCTTCTTGTATATCTCTCTCTATCTCGTTGCACCATTTCCCTTGCTCCGTCGTCTTCTTCTTCTCTTTCTCTCTTCATCTGTTGCTCTCTATCTTTCATTTTTCTTTTTCTTTCTGTCTTTTCATGCGAAAACATCTGCTTCTTCGATGTCCTTTTTAACAATTTTTGTATAAATTCTCCTTCAAAATATAAATAATTTTCAAGATTTTTATGATGACAGTTGACTGATTTACATGTCTTTTTCTATATTTTCTTTCGTTCTCTTCGCATTCGTTTCCTTCAAAGCAAAAAAACAAAGGAAAAGCTTTAAACTTGCAGTGTTGTGATCAACCATTGCCTCAGGCAGAATGATAATCAGACTTTCTAATAGAAATTTGTTTTTTTTTCTTTCATGATCCCTCAAACTACTCATCTGAATACATTTAAAGCGTGCAGAGTGTTGAAGCAAAGGAGAGAAAGCTAGAAAAGAAGAAGGTATCAGAGAAGAATCTTTGTTTTCTATTCGAGAAATTATTACTTCGAATGTGTTTTAATTTTATATTGTTAGTCGTCTGGAATAGATTTTTATACTCTCAAGATTCTGACTGATTTATGACAAAAGTCTTTTTTTTTTGCTTTCCATAAAAAAAACGTCGAGAGAGATAGTAGGAAGTAAGAGAGAAAGAGAAAAGAGGATTAGAATGAGAATATAGAAGCAAAGGTATGTTTGCATGTGGTCGGAAGGAGCAAAAGAAGAGACAGAAAACTTGTAGAGAGAGAAAAAAAATCTGAAAAAGAATGTTAAAAGCGAACAGCTGAAGCAATGAGATGCAGAGAAAGAGAATGAAGAAGGTAGACACAGAAGAAGAAGTTGGTCATTTGGGAGAAATTTATAGTTCACTCAGTCTCCAGTTACAATTAATAATATTTTGTTTATCTGAAGAAAATAATAAAAAAACATTAAAAGAAACATAAAATCTATAATATATTATAATTCTAGAATGGAGTACGACTGAATGATACAGACCTTGTTTTCCATAATGATCGTCAACAATTGCTCATCGAAGATGCTCAGGTAAATATTGTTTTTGGTGGTAGTAGCTCAACTGGAAAAGTGAAATATTCAAAAATTCAATTTTTCATTTATTTTTTTTATTTTTTCTCTCTTTTCTATTCTTAAAATGGTAGTGAACTACTAATACGAGAAAAGAGAATGAATGTTAACAGAATGAAATATTTGAAAATCATACCACTTTGTTAATATACAAAGAAGACTATTTTATTTGAAGCCATCGGATGCTGGACGATACACATGCTTGGCAGAGAACAAGCCTGGTCGAGCTGAGAAAGATTTGATCGTTGCTATTCTAAGTAAGAAACAAAAATTATAATTAAAATTCATATTTTATTCAAACATTTGTTTCAGAGCCACCACAGATGGCACAAAAGAACATTGTAAAAGAAGTTCAACAATCGGAGCAGCTTACGATGGAATGTCCTATCCAAGTATGTTGTCCATTATATAAGGAATACATTAGCATAATTACATTAATCATATGATTGTTAAGGATCATACTGTTGAGTTCATGTGGACTAAGAATGGAGTTCCCATTACAACATCTGATCGTCTTCAAGTATCTGTTCGCAGGGATAAACTATATCTAATGGGAGCTGAGCCTTCTGATGCAGCTCAATATTCTTGTATTGCTAAAAACAGTGCAGGAGAAGATCAAACCATTTTCGATACAGTTGTAAACGGTTTGTATAATTAGCATATAATAATTACTATCGTCTTGTTTTGCCAACTAGAAGGCATACACACTCACACACCTACGCTAACTAAATATTTTCGTTTCATCGTTCTTCTCATTTCAGTTGCACCCAAGATATCCGGAGCCTCATTCCGTTCGGTGGATGCTATTCTTAATCAAACTGTTCAGCTTTTGTGTGATACAAGTGGTGTACCAGCGCCTGAAATTGAATGGCTTCTTGATGGCCGTGTGCTTATCGAAAGTGAAAATGTCAAAGTAACAAATTTTTATTTTTCAACTTTTCCAATTCTCATCTATAGCTCATTGAAAATGGACGAGTTCTTATGTTGTCTGGAATACAAACCTCGCAAGAAGGACGATATACATGTAAAGCTGAAAACAAAGCAGGAAAGGCAGAAGCTGATACATATCTTCAAATCACAGGTTAATCCTCTTACGTTATTAAATTTTTGAAATCTCAGAATCTATGAAAACTTGAAACTCTTTTTCACGTAAATCACTTCAGCTATTCACGTCAAATAGCTCACGTAAACTATTCACGTATACCACTCATGCAAAGTTACTTTAAACTTTTCATTAATCTAAAGCGGTTGTGTTCTACCAGATTAGAGAATGCTTACATTTCTTATTCATTCATTTCTAGCTCCACCAAGAGTACAAATGCAAGCAGAAGAAATGAAAGTTGTTGCCGGCCGTGGAGTAACAATTAGATGTGAGGTATGAAATACAAACTATATAGAATAACTATTATTTAAACTATGCAATAACTATTTTTAGGTGTTCGGAAATCCTGCTCCTTCTGTTGAATGGCACAAAAATGGTCAACCCTTCAGATCAGAATTATTGCAGAGCTCTACAAATCTTCGTTATCTCCATTTACGTGAAGCTCAAGTTGAAGATGCTGGAAGGTTTTTGATCATTTGAATCTTATTTCCTAATCTTATTATATTTTCAAGATATACTTGTATTGCAACTAACAGAGCTGGTGAACAACGCACAAGTACTCAATTGCATGTTCTCGGTAAGTGACCGAAAAAGAACATTCAAATTATAAATGATGAAAATTAAAAACATCTTTCAGTCATCCCTATGATAGAAGATGGAGAGCGTATTATTCAAGTGAAAGAAGGGAATGATCTCAGCATTGACTGTAATGCTAACGGAATTCCTGCTCCAACTATCAGCTGGAAGAAGGATGGTGTATTACTCGAAGGTAAAGCTTCAAATAATAAAACTAAACAATAAATATGAAATTTATAGATAAAACAAATTCACGTCTTATTGTCCCATCTGTTAATCTGACAGATGGAGGACGATATACTTGTGTAGCAAAGAATGAAGCTGGACAAGCTCAAACTGACTTTGCTGTAGATGTGTTTAGTAAACCAAAGTTCAAAGAAACAAATCGTGATATTAAAGTATGTCTAATTTATACATATTATACATTATATATAATGATTAAGATTATTGATGGTGAAAGAGCACGAATTGAATGCAAAGTCGAAGGACATCCCACTCCAACTATCACGTAAGATATTAATCTATAATATTTGTTTTTATATGAATATTTAAATTTATATAATTACATACTCTTGTTCTATTTAGATGGTTACGTGGTGGACGACCTATTGAAGATATGTCAAATCTCATTCTTTCTCCTCGTGGAGAGACTTTGATGATTCTGAAAGCAAGACGTGCAGATGCTGGCTCTTATTCTTGTGTCGCCAAGAACGGTGCTGGAGAGTCAGAAGCTGATTATACTGTGAGACGAGCAAGCACAAATATATCTCAAACATTGATTATTTTAGGTATCTGTCTTAACATCACCACATATCGACGAATCAATCGATCAAAATCCTCGCGTTGTTCAAGGAAAACCATTGATATTCACTTGTCCTGTACTCGGAAACCCATTACCAACGGTATTACTTTTCTGTTGATTTGAGTCTACAACAACTCATTCAGGTTGAATGGCGTAAAGATGGAAACGTTCTACAGACAGATAGCCGTATCGTAATCGTTGATGAGAAGCATCTGCAGATCAATGAAGCGACGGTTAATCTTATAACAAATAATTAATATTTTATTTTTTGTTAAGACTGAAGATGAAGGAAGGTATACTTGTCATGCATCTAACGAAGCTGGTACATTGGACACTCATTTCAAGCCAGAAGTTATCGGTTTGCTTCGAATATTCTTCAAGCAGAATTCAAAAATATTTTTGTTATAGCTCCACCGAAATTCCAACGTGAAGGGGAATCTGTTTATGAAGTTATTGAGCATGCATCAATTACATTAGATTGTGCTGTATCAACTGATCCAAAACCAGAAATTAATTGGTATCGTGGTGATCAGCCATTATATCTTACTGAAAACATGGTTATTTCACCTGATGGAATGGTATGATCACATATTCTATTTTTGATTACATCTTATTATCTTAAGCAATTGACAATTCGATCTGCCTCACTTGCTGATGGTGGTAAATACATGTGTAAGGCTTCTAATGAAGCTGGATCTTCGGATATTGATTTAATCCTTAAGGTTGCTTTATATATTATGAAAAAAACACATTATGCTTTGTTTTTTTAGGTACTTATTCCACCTAAAATTGATAAGTCTAATATCATTGGAAACCCACTGGCTATCGTGGAGAGAGGAATCATATTGGAATGCCCAGTTTTCGGTATACCTCAACCAGTTGTCTCTTGGAGCAAAGATGGAGTTCCTATTGATTTGTCTGATAGTCGAATTGTTCTTACACAGGTTCGGCTTTCATCTATTCTACTATTTCAATAATTTTTTTCAGAACAATCAAACTTTTGGTATCGATGGTATCAAAGTTTCTGATCAAGCTCGTTACACTTGTGTAGCAACAAACAAAGGAGGAACTGTCGAGCAAGATTTCAATTTAGAAGTTTTATGTTTGTTAAATGATAGTTGGTAGACCAAATTTTATTTGTTCAGCTCCTCCTATGATGGACTTCTCGGAACAACAAGTTATAACAAAGAGGGAAAACGATTCTTTGACGATTTCATGCCCTGTTAGACCAAGTACTGACCCCGATTCACCAATATCTGATATTTCATGGGTGAAAGATGGACGCCCACTTGATCCTGAAACATTAGTCACCACAAAGGTAAGAATTATCGGGTTACCTCTATGAACACCATTGACTTTATAATTCTTTTAAGTTTACTGCTGATGGACGACGCTTATCAATTGACCATTCACAACTCGCAGATGCTGGAACCTACACTTGCGTGGCTTCCAATCGAGCCGGAGAAACCACCATTGACTTCCAAGTGGAAATTCTCTGTATGACTCTTTCTACCGACAAGTGCCGTGAATTAGAATACTCTCACATAAACAAAACACGTGCTGATTATAATCGACGAAAAAACTTGCGTGAGCTTCAGATGAAAACCCCTCGTACTCGAAGCAATTTGCAGTCGATGAATCAGTTCGATTTGCCCAAATCAACGTCATCATATAAGCCCCCATCCTTAACAAAGCCTTCTAACTCAAAACCTAATCCTGATGACACAGCTTTAGCTTTTCTTAGATCATCTAGTTCAACTCTTAATTTCCCAGATGCGTCCCATGATAGTAAGAGAGTCCCAATTACGTCAGTAGATCCCAGAAATATTCGAATAGTAATCAAAAGTCATTCAACAACTACCACTCCATCTCCCATAGATTCTATTTCTGTATACGAGCAGTATAGACGAAGGTATGATGAAGAGCGTTCTCGTTATGAAGAAAGGCTTCGACGTCGTCTATCCGAGCAAAGAAGGCGAGAACATGAGCATCATGTCCGTATGCAACGTCATAGGTTGGAAGAAGAACGTCGATTAGCAGTTTATCAAATGCAAATTGAAGAGCAGCGACGTAGGCAAAAAGAAGATGATGACTTGGTTGATATAATTCGGCAGAATCATCTTCTTCAGCAGTCCCTCCACCTTGTTGATGGTTATGACACTAGTGACGTCGAAAGCCAGGCCCGTTCGGTACAAATGAGAGGAAAATCACATAAGATGCTAACTACAACTCTCCCATCAATAACAACAACAACATCTTTCGATCCAATGTATCGTTGGGTGAAGACTCGTTTTGATATTGTTGACCTGAAGCCTGCGGAGCCTACAAAGAAAGTTCGTTCAATTCGTATCCGAGCTGCTCCGGATGTACGTCAATTGAAACGTCCATGCAAACTCAAAAATAAAAAATGTCGAAATCGTCAACCAACAGTGACGACTATCATCTAACTTCGATATTGATATATGTAGTTAAAGATTATCAAAGAACAGAATGAGCTTCAATCCTCAGCCATTCTATTTTTGAATAGTTATCTAAAAAATAGTTCTTTTTCAGTTTCATATTCAAACAAAACCTCATAATTACATTCCAATTTTTTTCAGAGAAATTATTCATATCTGGCTTTGTCCCTCTGCGTTTACTTGTTTCGTGTGTGTTTTTTCTTTGACTAATGCTTGTTCAACTAACAGATTTGCTGTGATTTTAATAAAATATTCAATTGTTTAACATTATTGGAAACGAAATCTTATAACATATACTTTCAAAGTTATTTTAGCTCCTCCTATGATTGATACAACCCGATCTGACTCAAAACCATCTGTAGTCGAAGGACATCCCGTTTTCTTAAATTGCCCCGTCAGTGGACATCCATTCCCCACCCTGAAATGGCTTAAGGACGGATCATCCGTAGAAAGTATCATTATTATAATAGTTGTTGATTTATATATGTTGTGTTGAAGCAAACGACCAAATCAAAATAACTGAGAATGGACAAGCTCTAGAAATCCTTGATGCACGAAAGATCCACAGTGGACGTTGGGTGTGTATTGCAGAAAATGATGCAGGAGTTAAAGAATTAGAAATTGATCTGGATGTTTGGAGTAATAGAGATTCAACTTATGATATCACAATTGCTATCTTTTTTCAGCTGCACCCACAGTCTCTGTTACATCTGACTCTCCCATTAAAGCAATTGGAGATACAGTAACATTGCTCTGTAACATAACGGGCAACCCTCAACCAAGTATTTCGTGGAACAAGGCTGGACAGCCCATCATTAATAGTCCTGAAGGAGCCAGAATTTCACTGAAAGTATAACTTTTGTAAATATGTTACTTCAATGCTTTAATACATAATTCAGGGAACAAGACTCGATATCCCACATCTGACAAAGGACGACGTCGGAGATTACACTTGTTTTGCTCAAAATGAAGCTGGAACAGCAGAAGCAAGCATTCACGTAGATGTATTAGGTAAGAACGAAACAAGTGAAAAGCAACCACTCTACGCGAATTAAAAGATGTAAATGTGAAGCCAACACAGACCATGACGTGAAGAGCACGTGAGAAATCGGTAAACAATGTATGCTAATTTTACGGAATTCATGTTGCTCTCGAAAAGAACGACAAAAAAATCAAACATCAAGCGCGTGTGAAGCTTCACGTCATTTCAAAAACACAATAGTGATAATTACAATGATTTTCAGTCCCACCAGTTATTAATAGAGATGATATTGATATGTCACCTCGATTACCTGCTGGTCAGACGTTAACATTGGTTTGTGATGCCGGCGGAAAACCTCCTCCAACCAACAAATGGCTTGTGAATGATACAGAAATAACAGGTGAAACAGAAGGAATCACACTAGGATCAAATGGAAAATATATCCAAGTACGAGTAGCTGAATAAACAAATTGATGGAAACACTTCAGATAAACAACGTGACTCTGCAAGATAAAGGAGTTTATTCATGCATTTCTACAAACGTTGCTGGAAATGATTCCCTCATCTTTAATGTCGACGTCGTTCGTAAGTATTTGTACTTACTGTGTTTTCTTCTTCAGAAGTGATACTTTCATCTTCTGATATCATAGTATCATTTAATACAAATAATCTTGTTCCAGAAGCTCCAATTATCTCAAACGGAGGGGCTCAGCAGGTTATTGAAGGAGAATTAGCCAAAATTGAATGCTTAGCTGAAGGACATCCTGAACCACAGGTTCTTCCTCCCCCTCCATCTAATACACGGATAATTCAACTCAAAACATTTACAGATTTCTTGGCTCCGTAATGGAATTCGTGTTGAAACAGGTGCTCAAGGATTACGGTATACAGCAAGTGGAAAAGTAATATAAAAAATAATTTTCTGAAAATTTTTCACAATCCAACTCCTTGAAGGTTTTGAATGTTTTTGAAGCTCGTAGTTCTGATTCTGGTATATACGTATGTACAGCAACAAATGAAGCTGGAACTGCTCAGCAGGCTTACACATTAGAAATTCTGGGTAAAAACGACTGCTGGAAAGCCGTTTCATATATATCCTGATGTTTTTTTCAGTTTCACCAAAGATCGTGACTGTATCTCAAACTGAATCGAATGTAGCTATGGGAAGCGCTTTCTCATTGAAATGTGGAGTTCGCGGATATCCAGAGCCTGAGATAACGTGGACAGAGAATGAAAGAGCTATAAATGGAGAAGATGGTTATACAATTGGTAGCAATATCTTCCCTTTGTTTAACTATTGAAAGTGAAATGAAATTCAGATGAGGACGGAACTCTTCATGTGCAAGAAGCTAAAGGACGCGATTTACATTACAGATGTATTGCCAAAAACGATGCTGGATCAGCAGATGTTGAATACAGTGTTAATACAATCAGTAATAAGCATAATAGAACAGATCAAGGCTGTCTCACTTATTCTAGGTGCACCAATGGCTACAGGTGAAGATGAAACATCTCAAAATGCAACTGAAGGAAACCCCGCTACTATTCGTTGTAATATTGACGGTGATATGCCCCAAATCTCTTGGCAAAAGGTTTTTATTCTTTCTCTCACTTGTAAAAATTGCCAAACATTATCTTTTTTAAGAATGGAATGGCTGTTTTGCCATCAACAACAATAGATTTTAGTGAAGATCGCATGGAATTAGTGTTGAAATCAGTTCGTTTGAGTGATGAAGGAGTTTATATTTGTACAGCCATCAATTCTGCTGGAAATGCTACTCATAAGACAATTCTTTATGTTGGAGGTAATCACTTTAAAAAAATTTATTTCAAAAAATGAATCACAAATAAGAGAAAGAAGAAAGAGAAGACCGTTAGTGGATGACTAAGACATACAAACTCAACGAAATCACTCTTTCGTACAAATAAAGATAATAAAGTAAACAGGTAGTATCAACAGATGAAATGATAAAGTTTAAAAAAAAAAGAAAATTTCAAACAAGCTGACGAGCGGATCCATTACTTTGCAATGACTAAGCATCATAATAATCTCCGTCGTATGCCTAAATGATGTTTGCTTTACTCAATCACATCAACTCATTTACAAACCTCATTTGGAAGAAATTTTTTTCGAAATACGTGCAAAAAGTTTCTGAAGAGCGATGGATCCACCTCAACGTAATTGGGATTTTCAATGATATCCTAGAAAAGTATTTCACTGTTTTTGATTGAAAAATTAATCCGAGACAAACCTCTACTTGCTCCAAATCCTTCATAAGAGTGATTGGATCGGGAACATCTAAAGTTGTGATGAGAAAATGTTGATTGAATAAGGTTAAGCTTACGTCTCGCTGATGCTATCCAGAATATGCTAATTGCCAGTATAATAACGGAAACTAGTAATGATTTCATGAAGCCTAAAACGAAACATTTTTACATAGAGGATAGAAAAAATGCATAAAGAGAGAGAGAGAGAGAGAGAGAGAGAGAGAGAGAGAGAGAGTAAAAGAAACAGAAAATCGTAATATAGTTAAATCTCAATGAAACTTTTTTTTCTGTACAGAGATGCAAAAAATAATGATGAGGAATGAAAGTTTTTTTATACAAAATGAACTAGAAAACAAGCATATTGAAGAAAAACAAAATTTCAGTTCCTCCTAGAATATCTGAAGGATCACCTAAGGCTACGTTCAAAAATGGTGAAGTCGCTACTCTATGGTATGGTTTATAATCAAAATAAACAGAGATAGTTAAGATAATATATCAATATATTAATTTTTAGGTGTGAAGCTGTAGGTGTTCCAACTCCCAATATAACCTGGTGGAAGGGTGATACAATGCTGAACAACAGTATGTTTCCCGAAATTCATTCAAAGCTCTACATATGATCATGATTAGACTAAAAAAAAATTTTCAGCCGGAATAGACGATCACAGCAATTCACCAAAGAAATCAGCGATTTTCAATGCTGTTACCATCGATGACGCTGGCATATACACTTGTAAAGTGGATAACTGGGCTGGTACATCAGAAAAAGATTTCGATTTGATTGTCCTAAGTAAGTATAGTGGAAGAGAGAACAAAAAAAGGGAGAAAAAAGATAATTCATTAGATAATATTCTTAAGATGAACTTTATGGTGAAGTGATACACAACAAAAAAAAAGTAATCTTCTACTTTTATTTGGATCAGGACAAATAAAAATAATTAAATTAGCATATCACGTGAAAATTAAAGGAGTCGTGATTGTCCACGTAAAAATTTATTTTCACACTCGTACGTGAGAAAAGCAGTTTGGTTGTTTTGGCTGTGTATGCTCTAAATGAAAAAAGATAATCTATAGAATCTCTCTCTCTCCTTTTTTTTTTCGTCTTCTGAGCTTTCACTAGATCTATTCAGAAGAAGAATTTTCGATGAAAGAAGAGGAGCAGGAAAAACTAATATGACGAAAAAGAAGGTGTGAAGTAGAGAAATCTACTGATTTCCTGTTTTCGTTAAGCTCCACATCTTAATGGTGTGGAGGTTTTTAACAATTCATTTCTTTTTCTTTTACAAGATGTTTTTTTTGTTCAATCAATGATGAAAAAAAGGCAAAAACATTTAATTTTTTTTTTCAAAGTAGCCTGATATGTATATGACAGCATAGTCTAAGAGGGGTTGGTGATAAGGAGGGAAACGGAAAGAGAGATAGTAGAACATAAGATGTGTACGAGAATGAGAGAAGCAAAGTGAGCTCTGGGAAAGGGAAAAAGAAGTAAGAGTATGAGAAAGAAAACAGAGGTAGAGAGAGAGAGGGAGAGAGGGAGAGACCTATCGAACATGATACAAATTGTAGAAAATAAAACAACAATCAAACGGAAAAAGGGTGAAGATATTTTGTGATAAAAAAAAGAAAAAAACGTTTGAAAAGCTAAGACAGATAAACTAGCAAAATCTGTGAACGTCTACTGACGAAATGATATGCAGACGAATGGGAGGGAGAGGGGGGAGGTACAAAGGGAGAGATTAACGAATGACAAATATTAATCAAAATCAAACGTTTGCTTAAGAGGTTGAAATGTTTTAATTCACGTTTTTTGCTCTTTTCAGCTCAACCACAAATTTTCCCTGAGCGAGAAAATGTGACTACAAACCCGCGGCAAGAAGTTATACTGAGATGTAATGCAACTGGAAATCCTGAGCCAGTTGTTACGTGGATTAAGGCACCAAATGAGCCAATTGAAGTATCACAAAGTAATACTTGAGAGTCAATTAGAAAATTGTGATAATAATCATAATACATTAGAATATCAATTGTTGGGCACATCATTAGCCATCCGAAACGTATTACCTGAAGATGAAGGATTCTATCATTGTATCGCCAAGAGTGATGCTGGACAAAAGATCGGATATCGTCATTTGGTTGTAAACAGTAATTAGCATATATTATTTTTCGTTTAATCATTTATCCTTTGTAGAAGTTGATCATGAGCAAAAAGTAATTTGGATGGATTGTGATGAAAATAATATGCCAATCAAAAACTCGTACGTTCAAAGCCGTGGTGATGTTCCGGACGATAAAACGGAATTCCTGCCATGGGGTGAAATTCCAGACACTTCATTGGAAGGAACAAATGTTACAATTCGTTGCATTCCTGGTCCACGACAGATTTCACAACGAAAGGTAATTGCTATATATATTTGAATAGTAAATGTTAAAATAATTTGTTTTAATTAAAGGTCGGCTTACAAGTTCCTCCTAAATTTGTCATTACACCTCAAGCGAACAAGGCTTCTTTAGATTCTTTGGTTGAATTAACATGCAGGTTTTTGATTAAAAAATACGAAAACATCACATAATGGGTTCCCTTGAAGCGCAACTGGACTTCCAATGCCTCAGCTATTCTGGACAAAAGATGGAGATCTCGTACCCGGAAAAGAACCTGAAAGCCAATTAAGTCGTTTGGTTATTCATTTGGTCAATGAAACTGCTGCTGGCAAATATGCTTGTCACGCCCGTAATGGCGTCGGAATAATTTCTGTGAGTCAAACAAAATGTTATTTGTCCTTTATCAATGAATCATATTATTTACAGAGTGAAGCTCTAGTTGAGATAGATTCTGACATCGATGCTTCTCCTCCACCACCATCTTCCAAAAACCAACAAGTTGCTGTTCTGACCTGTTTCGACCGTGGAATTCCATTCACAAGAGGGGTATCATGGGAGTTCCATGGTTCTCCCATTGATAGAAAACTTGTTGGACATAATTTCATGAATAACGGAAGTCTTGTAATCTACGACAGAACTCCTAATGTCAGTACAATATGCCTTCTATTTCTTGCTTGTTTCTGCAGATTGTTCTTAAGAATGTGTTTCAGGCTGAAGAGCTCAAAGATTATTCATGTAAAGTTCGTAACCGTCGCCGTCTCCATTCTGTTGATTTGGTATTTCATTTTGCCTTACTTTGTTCATTGAAAAATTATTTCAGGTTGATGTAGAAGATATTCCACCCGTAGTCGACACAAATCCATCTACAATCCAGGTTGCTCCAGGAGGACAAATCAGTTTGCACTGTAATATATCATCAAATCCTTTAACAACTCATATTGAATGGACAAGAAATGATCAGTTAGTACATACGGATGAAATCACGCATATTCTCGTAACTCTACATATTCAAAGATAAACAAAAGTTTGATATTTAGCCGAACAATTCCCTGATGATCTCAGAAATCGAAGAATATGATAAGGGAGTTTATAAGTGTGTAGCTGCTAATTCGCTAGGAAAAGCTTTTGATAGTGTTGAAGTTGTTGTTCAAGGTATCTAATATTCATTACTTTAATAGTTCTATTGATTCGTGACAGAGGGTGCAACAACAACAATCGGATACATTGATGACGTTACCGAGAACAGTTTAACAGTTGAAGGTAATATTTGCAATAACCGAATAGAGTAAGAAAGGTAATTTGAATTTAGAAAGCGCAACTTCTTCCACAATAAAATCTACTTCTACTCCTACTCCTACTTCTACTTCTACTTCTACTCCTACTCCTACTTCAACTTCTACTTCGACTTCGACTTCAACTTCAACCACGACTACACCTCTTCCAACAACACCATCAACTACTACAACAACGACAAGCACTACGACGACAACAACGGCGAAGCCGACAACGACGACAACAACGGTAACGCCGACAACGACGACAACGACGACAACGCCGACAACGCCGACAACGACGACAACTCCGACAACGCCGACAACTACGTCGTCTACAAGTAGTTCTTCAACAACGACTACATTAGCGCCAGCTACTAGCACGTCTAGTACTACCGTAACAACATTAGAAACAACTGAAACAACGGAATCATCGTCGTCCCACGAAATGTATGAAGATGAATATGAAGAAGTAGAAGAGGAAGGAAGTGGGTACAACGAGGATCAATTACCGAAGGCGAGTGTTACTGTTCAACAGGAGAGCATCTGCCCAGCTGGATATACTAGTATAAACGGATTATGCACAGGTACAAACAGATTATATATTTATATATTTTACATTCATAATAATAAATATCATAGGAGCCAATCCGAGTGGTACAAATCTTAAAGCTATTCCCAGTGACACCAATGATCGATGCCCAGAAGGATTCTTCTACCACAAAGGATTATGCGAAGGTGAAAATAATATCAAATTATGCTATAAATAATTTGAAACATCTGAAAAAAAACATTACTGACTTCCAATCACTTCAGATATCGATGAATGTGCGTTCGATCGTCCTTGTGATTACAAATGTCACAACACCATAGGATCATTCGAGTGCAGTTGTCCAGATGGATACGATTTGGATGAGATTTGTAAAGGTAAGACTGTTTTTGTGGAAAAAGAAATGAAAAAATCATGAAACCTGCCTCCTCCTTCCTCAAAGACTATTAATGCACAACCGCTCTGTGTGAGTGCAAGATGGAAAATGAAATAAGTGGAAAGGCCATAGCAAGATTGAGTCGTATAAGATCATTTCCATTTTTTGATTCCAGATATAGACGAATGTGCTGAGAATTTGTATCAGTGCGATGGTACTGAGATATGCTTCAACACATTTGGAGGCTTCGAATGTATGCCCGATCCGTGTCCTCAAAACTACACAGTTGAAGACAAGAGGTAGCAAATCAGAACTTATAGTATATTACACAAAAAATTATATTTCCTCCAGACTTTGTGTTCCTGAATGTCTAGATTGCGATGATCCACCAATTCAATTACAAATGCTTGCAGTCCAAGCAGGACTTCCACCAGGTCTACAATTTTTCTCATTCAACGAATCAAATATCTTTTTCGGTTTTCTTTACAAAAATGAATTTTAGGTACACATTTGGCTCAGTTGACAGCATACGATAAGAATGGAAAAGTTCTTACGGATACAAAGTTTTCTGTTTCAGAAACATTGCAAGGATTATCTAAAGGTTCCTTGATGTCATTCAGCTAAAAATAAGTAATTATATTTTTAATAGGCTTAAGCAGATCTGGTCCATTTACCATTCGAGCTAAAAATGGACAAGCTACAGTTATAACTAATCGATTATTAGTGGCTGGTTCGAAGCATCGTATTCGTGTAAGAGCAGAATCAGATGCTCGTCATGCTCATCGTGAAACACATTTCCTCCTTTTAATTGACGTCGGTCAATTTGATTTTTAACTGAAGCCAATCTTGAGTACCCATCTCAGATTCCAATTTTTTGTGTTATTGTTTCCTTTTTTCATTTTCATTATTAAAAAGTCTAAATACTTGTATATCAGTCAGCTATTACATTTTCTCTAATAAAAATTATAATATTACTCCAAGTAGTAGCTAATACGATCTGTCAAATTGATAGAACAAACGCTTTCCGCCCAATTCCAAGCTGAATCGGATTATTTATTCATAAATCTATTCATACAGGAAATAACCTCAAGAGCAGCTCACAAACAATCATCTTCATGACAAAAAGTCAATTATATCATTTTGGTCAATAGCCCACAACTAATCTCATCCAATAGGAAGAAGAGACTACGAATAAACTTCCTTCATGAAAATTTCATAGAGACCAAAGGGTATTCAACCATGGTTGAAACTGAACCATACAAATTCATGTTCATTTAAATATCTGTATTTGAACATGAAATGTTCATGCTGATAAACTCACTTCTGCATTTCTTAATCATTTCTTACTTGCAGTGTAAAACGGGCATTTGTTAACACCCAGTCTCCATTCTGGGATGGCAGACAAAGTATGCCCAGTTAATATGTCATGATGACATTAAATTATCTTTTCAGAACTTGAGACATAAGAAACTCACAATGAAAGTCAAGAATGATATTTTATATCTCAGAGATGATGGATGGACTTGTCGTAAAATAGCCATAGAAGTTGGATATCACTATTCAACTGTTTCTCGTGTCATCAAAGCTTACGAAGAAGGCAAAGGCTTAGTGCGGAAAAAGCCTCCTGGCAGGCCCCGAAAAACCACAAAGCGTGATGATGCTATCTTGACCAAGATGTCTGCTTATGCTCCAGAATTATCTAGCATTACAATCCTAAGGATAGCTTCGAAAGAACTATCTAAAAGAGTTTCTGATAGATTGGTTCGTAGAAGAATAGCTGGAACTAATAAGAAGTAACGTCTTTCTTGTACTAGGTAGCATTGTTAATGACGTTCTTGCTTTCATTTCGACTCCAATTATATGATTCGATTTCTTTGTTTATCTTTCGAAGACCTCATGGTGAAATGGGACTATGCCAAATCGAACGACTAGCTGATACTGAGAAGTGGCCTGAGCGCGAGACATTGAATTTTCCCAGCTTATCCATATTTTAACAATAGCTATCATTTCTTTATTAAAAATCTGTTTGACTATTACCTTCACCCATAAAAAAAACCAGGATAAAACATCACAAAAATAAATACCATGTTAGAGTTTAAAGTCTAGCTTCGATTAACTGTTCAAGAAGTCTTGCATCTTTAGCGAAGTTACGGATTCCTTCAGCCAACTTTTCGGTAGCCATGGCATCCTCGTTCATAGCAAATCGGAAATATTTTTCATCTACGTTAACTGCAGGAATATCCAACGAATCAGCTGAAAAACATTTAGCCTGTGATAAGTTCACCCAACAAGAAATACCGTTCTCTTTCTTCAAAACATGAGGAACTGTCTCGTTATCTTCGGCTAATTGCTTGAGAAGAGCAGGGCTAAACCGAGAAATCTTTGTTGAATGGTTAGAACGTTTGAAATACCTAATAGTTAAAAGGTCACTACCTACAAGACCTTTAATTTCTTCAGTGTTACGGAAAGAAGCAGCCATAACTTGGGTTGGATGTCCGTGCTTTTTGTAATAATTGAAGATACGAGTAACACTCTTTAAAAGAAACATTATTTCGTAATGTTATTCTGATATACCTTGACTCCTGGATCGTCGTGTCTGTCATAACTCTTCTGATCGGTATTTTTAACAAACCAATCCATGATTCTTCCAACGAAGGGAGAAATTAGAGTGACTCCGGATTGAGCACAGGCTACTGCTTGTTCGAAATTGAAAAGGAGTGTCATGTTGCAATGAATGCCATACTTAGATTCGAGTTCCCTAAATTTCCTTTATTCAGAAAAGGATGAAAAATGTTGACGTACTTGGCAGCTTGAATTCCCTCCCAGGTAGAAGCAAGTTTGATGAGAATACGTTCTTTCGCGATTCCTTCTTTCTCATATTGCTTGATCAATGACAGAGATTTAGCAATGGAGGCTGCAGTATCGAAAGAAAGTCTTAAAAAAACTACGTTAATTGGAAAGACAACTTGAAGTTACCTAGCGTCAACTTCGGTAGACACGCGACCTGGAATGACTTTCAGAATTTCTCTACCAAATACAACGAATAAACGATCCGTAGCCAACGAGATAATCTGAACAAGTATAAGATTTACTTCGAAAAAGAAAAGTAAGTTTACTTCTTTTTTACAATCAGTACCAGCATTCTCTTTGGCGTAAGCAATTGCTTCGTCAATCAAGTTAGAGTAAGCTTCGATTTTAGAAGCTTGAAGAATGAGAGAAGGGTTAGTAGTGGCATCAGTTGGTTGGAATTGCTTAATTGCTGAAACACAACCAAACTGATTTCGAGATCAAGAAAGAACAACTAACCGTTGAAATCTCCTGTGTCAGCAACAACAGTTGTGACTTTCTTGAGTTGCTCTAAGACGGACATGCTCTAGACAAAAACTTTGAGTTATGGATAATATTAACATCTATTGAATCAATAAAAAAAGACGCAAAAGATAACAAATGAATGTAGATGGATTTTTATCTTTATATGGAAGGAGAGTCGAGAAAGTTTCATTATCAACGTTCTACTGTAAACACCGTGCAATTGTAAAACGCGTGCATGGTGGCCATCATTCTGGCATAGATGTTCGCCCAGAACGGTTGTTTATATCGAAGAGTAGATTTAATACGTAATGGATGATATATATATCATAAGATAATAGTTACATAAGTTATTATTTTCATAAAGAACTGTGTGATGGCATGGAATTGGCTTTGATACATTTGAACTTAAAAAGTGAAAGTGAACTTGGTTTTTTTCTTTTCGATTTCTCATAACAAGCACTTTGTTGTTCAAAAAACGAAATTTGCTTTGCCTTTATTATGTTAAGGGGTTTCTCCTTCGAGAATCAGACAGGATATGAATAAGTAGCTGTCAAGAAAATAGTTAAGCGGTTTGTATTAACATGAAACTGATTCAACCCACTTTCTCAGAATATGGGTGTTATCTGACCCCAATAATGCGAGTGATTGTTACTCGTGATTAGCGTGAGCTTGAACAATTTCTGATTTTTTATAGTTTTTTAGTGGTATTTTAAGAAATTCTTTGGTATTTTTTGTTCATTTCCCCCAATCTCTTCAGAGAGAGAAAATAGATTTTTCTTTCAATGACTGTTACGCTTTTGTTTTTCTTTTATCATTTCTTCGTTATCCAATGCGCGACAGTAGAAGAAAGAAAGAAGTTCAATCTTCATGAAAATAGAAAAGTTGGAGTTTTCTCTTTCCTTGTCCATTTTTGAATGAAATTTTTCAGATTGAATCTGTATCAGAGAACAGGCTACCTGCAATTCGTGGCAGAAGTTCAGAAGTCAGGGAAAACTTGCTGAACACTTTAATATTTGCCTCTTCAGACTGTACACAGTCTGAAAACATGGTTTCCCACTAATGTACTCGAATGCATGAGCTGGGAATGCGTTTGTGATCATGTCGAAGGTTGAAATGAATGGAAGTAATTGACATTCGTTTTATTTGTCTAGGTGCCAAATGGATTAAAAAAACTTGTCATATGCCAGGGGGCACAATTATGAGAAAAGAAGTCCGAAAAGAATACCGTATGCTGACAATTTCGGAAAAGAGAATGTTTAAAGTCTCGAAGTATTTCAAAATACGCTTGCTTCAGATATAGGAGAGCTTTTCTCTTGGCCAATAAACCTGGGGGAATTTATAATATATTGAGTAACGCTCATTCCGATTCTTCTTTGTCGCCTGCTGCTCATAATGGTCCCCATTTTCTACCTTGGCATCGAGAGTTTTTGAAGCGGTTTGCCAGACATGTTTTTTTTTAATCCGAATATTCTTTAGACTCATCATAGGTATCAGATTAATTGAAGAAAATGGGAAGTATCCGTTTGCTTCTGTTTCATTGCCTTACTGGGATTCTAGCTTGGACGACCATATGAGAGAGAGGTTGAATATTAGTTCAACCAATTCCGTTCTTTTCTCACCTCATCTTATGGGCTCTGTTGTTAAAGGAATACTAGTTGATGGTGATTTCGCAGGATTCGTTGGAAACCACGTCAGTACTGTTCCATGAGATAGAGTCGAAGACATCTTTCAGGGGCACACGAGGAGGGAATTAGATCGATTCGGAAGAAAAATAGGTTTATTGAAGCGTCAAGATGTAGAAAGAATGGTCAACTCATATAATATAACTGGAGTTTTGTCTGCTGCCGCGGGAAGCTCTAGGGTAATTTCTGATACAATATGAAATAAGGACATTTCATTTCAAGTTTAGGAATGCACGAAAAAGCTTCCCCGAAACGCTCTGGAGCTTTTACATGGCAACGCTCACGTTTGGGTTGGAGGTTGTTATTATCATAATGTAGATGAAAGATAACAGTTATAGCTTGAAGGAAGTATGAAACTCACTCGTAATGCAACAAACGATCCTATATTCGTGCTCCACCATTCCTTTGTAGATATGCTATGGGAAAGATGGAGGAAGAAGAAGCAGGTAGATTATAAGAATTGGCTGTGAATAGTTTTTTCGTCCTTTATCAATAACGAATTAAGAACAGTAAGGAACGTGAAAGCCAATGGAATGATATGACCAAATGTTATTCTTCTCATCACAAGAGTTCGGCTGTCATGAAACCCTTTGGGTACTCTTCCTTCTTAATTTTTTCTATAAGTTTACTGTTTAGTCTGTTAACTGGAAAAGATGGCTGTTCCAATAAATATGCAGAAATGACATCATACTCTCCCATTCCTAAGTGTCATTCATTCTGTCGTTCGAAGTGAAATTGACAAGATTACATACATATACTTAACCGTCAGCTTTAGATATCTTTATTGTCATGAAGGATATTGTGTATCGCGTCTGAAGCCAAATGGGCAATGCCGAATAATTAACCGTATTTTCTCAAATGATTATATTTTATTTAAATAAGTCTCAGGAATCGATCCGTGCTACCGAAGCAAATGCACAGCAAGAGATGGTCACATAGGATATTGCAAGCCTTACAAAACTGTATGTATACGTTATCCAAATCCATTCGTCTAATTGTATTTATAAAGCTCCAGAGCATCCGCGATACAAAAAAGAGTGTTCGTCAGAAAACTAGTAAAAAACAGTTAAGATTAGAGGTATAATCAGTTTTTTTTCTATATTTTAGTTTATTTTGATCTCAGACTTGTTTCAATATGCACGAATGTTGTAACTTCTGGGGAAAGCAAGGAGAATGCAACAAAAGATCTAATGCGATGAGTGAGGCTTGTCCATTGAGCTGTGGAGTTTGCAAAGCTAAAACTTATAATAACAGAGATGGTGCGCATTGTCTATTACAGCTAATTCTTTCTTAAGATTGTACTGACCGGCATTTCAATTGTGAGCATCTCCGAAAGTTAGGAGGCTGTAAAACGAGTTATCCATTTATGGCGGAAAACTGTAGGAAAACTTGTGGATTCTGTTCCAGACGTCGAAACCAAAACTGTTTAGGTTTATCATTGTAACCCTTTCTTCTCACAATTATTTTTTAGCACCTCCAAGCGTCAAACAAATACTTCATTCGAAGAAAACTGCGAAACAAGCGAGAGTGAAATTACGATCATTGTTCACATGAAGTTCTAATAATAGAAAATAATAATACTTCTAGAATAAATTATAGAGATTTTCAGTTTTGTATATGGTATCTGTTCTCCTCCCTGTAAGAATGCATAGTGAATGTGACCGTTTGTGTCTGTAGAACACAAATGTGGAGGAAGTATTTCCGACGAACGTGGAAGTACGGCTACTGCAATGACAATCACAAAAACATTCTTCCAATCAACGTAGTCATTGTACAATTGTAGAAAGCAGAGGCTTAGGTTAAAGGGATGTACTATCAAACACTCACTTCACTCGCTATGTATACTTCACAAAATAATTACTCTATTTAATTATACGTTACTCACGTAAATCACGTTGCTCATACTGTCAATCTTTCATTCACCACGTAGCTGATGCAGAGATCGGTTGTAAGAAAACAAGGCAGACTACGTTTTACGCAGAAGCTGATGAAAATCTTTCAAAAAAAAATTAAAAAATATAAATGGCAAATTTTATTATTTCTCTTTTTTTGTGACGGATAGATACTCTGTTAACATGCAAGAACTAAATATGAACAAATATACCACAAAAAGTTTCATAGTAATAAGAAAGAGATGAGCGTTTAAATACAAACAAGTTGATACATCTACCAGTCTGTCCCAACATTGCCAACATAAACATTCAACTGATTTTGTGATGTAGATGATTGTAGTTTGGAGGTTGGCTAAACAATTTTAAAAGTTAAGAAATCTGAAATTGCCCTCTTACATGACACAAGCCGGCATCAAAAATACACTGGGCTATTTGTTTCCATTTTTCAGTTGTAAAAATGTGTCTATACTCTGGGCGACTTACAACCTATAATACATCATACTTTCAATTATAATTATCACTTATGACAATACCTGCTCGATTTCGTGAACCGATGAGGCTGATGTCACCAAGTCTTTGAATGTGCTATCACGATTAACTAAACTTCGCCATCTTCCTTTAATAGAAGCAATATTAAGTCTTATCGAGTAAAATTGTGGCCTACCCATCTCCTGTTCTGTCAGGCGACGAGCTCCGAACCCTCTGATTGGAAGCACACACCGAGCTAACTGATCCGATACTGTTGAAACTCTATTTTCAACAACTAATTGGCCTGAAAACGGTTTTTTTTTTGTGATACTGAAGTTATCGATCATACCATCTTCAGATATTTCTTTCATCCCATGTTGAGCTGTCTCAGCTGCTTGATAAATTTCAGTTATGGACCTATATGAAGACACTCCTGAACCATCATCAATGGGTGGAACTCCAGCTTCAAGCTCTCGTGATGTCACCTTTAAAATAAGTGATTAACTTTGAATTAGTTACTAGGTGAGACTTTTAAGCTGGATCCTCTGTCAATTCCAGCGCCAGCAATTAAACAACGTCTCCACTCAGAATAAGATGTTGGGGGATCCTGTGTGTTAATGTATTTGACAATATATGAATACCTTTCATACCTCTTTAGGAGTTGATCCGATGTCGACGCCTCTTTCGCTGAACCTTGGATACTCTAAATATCCCGAGTACTTAGCCCGTTCTTGAGGTGGTAGCTCAGCAATATATTCATCTAAGTTTGATCTAAACAACATAAGCTTATTTTGTTAATTATACACAAAAACCTAAGATTAAGTGCGTTTCGAGCGGATCCTCTATCAAGGGTACTCAAATAATCTGCTCGGTTTGATGACGGTTGGCGACTGGGAGTGTCAGTTTCAAAACGACGTCTACCGTACAATCCACTAGTAGCATAATGAGAACTATCCCTGAGCATTAATTTAATGAATCTGTATACTGAAGATCTTTTAATACTTGTCAATGTTGCCGTTCTTCTTTCCTTTGGTAGCTGAAGAAGCACTTCGTGTAGCTTGTGCTGTCGACGATGTCATTTGTGAGCCAGATGGAGATAGTGGAGAAGATTGATTTCTGTGAGAACTGGAAAGTAACATTAGCGATCTTCCAAAAAAAATTGCGTACTCAGCCACGGCGTATTCTCCCTGAGTATTGTTGTTTCCTCTGTTCCACCAGAACTGTCCTATACCTATTTTGTTCATTTCAGCTGCTGAAAAAAATCTATAAAAACGGTAAAAAAGAGTTATCCGAACATGGTGGGATTCCAAGTAAAAGTCTTTTCCGATTTTCTTCTTGAACAGTATAGCGTCGTAAACAAAAGTATAAACAACATAACAAAAAGAGTATGATAAAGACCTGAAAATACAAATGAATGATGCAGGTGTTAGAAAAATAACTTACGGCTCCTATAAGGCCAATAATGAGCCAAAGCGATAAGCTTGATCGTCGTTTGTCTTGCTGACCTTGCAGTGCAGTATTTTGAACATTAAATGAGTTTAAAGTTGAAGTTTCTGATGTTCCCACTTCATCAAGCTAAAACATAACAATTATGCTCAATGCTTCGATAAGCGTAAACTTGCATTTGAACTTAGAGTCACAGTTCTGTCTGATTCTGATGGCAGAAAGTTTCTACTTGTGCTTCCACTAATGTCATTGATGTTTCTGGCATCAGTAGATATTTCTTTGGATTGAATCGGTTTATTAGGACCAATGTTTAATCCAGCGAATATATCTGTAACAGATCAGATACAAACGTTCATCAAGCAAAAAATAACAAGAGAATCGTTCCGAGCCTCTGATCTGGTCATTACCAGATCACAACTTTCCAAACTTTCGAGCTCCTAACATTTATTGTTATTGTATTCTCACCTTGAATGTTATTTTTTTGACTTTCGTCCTCTTTTTGGGAAGACATGCCTTCTCCATTCTGATTCTTCTCAATAATCATTGTATTTCCTAAGCCAGATGAGCTTTGGGATTCTCGATTTGCCTCTGAAAAAAGACATGTTGGACTTTTATCCGAAACCTCGACTAACGTTCATCTGTGACGAGTAGAGATGTTTCCTCATTTTTATTATTTACATTTTGAATAGGGAAATTCGCATTGGAGGAAATCGGCTTTTCTGGTATGGTAGCAACAGAGTTCCAATTTTGGTTTTGGTTCACAATTGGCTTAATGGCCCCTTCAGGTAATCGATCAGTTGAGACTAAGCCATTTTTTGATTGAGATGAGCTACTTCCACTGAAAGAATTATGCGTATTAAGGACATATCCCTTGAAAATAAGTCGAAAGTATTGAAAAGGAAACCTCTCAATATTAAAATTGGGATTGATGACCGGTAAGGGTAACGTGTCAACTTCCGGTAATCCGTATACACACTTGACTGTCAAAGTCTGATCGCCGTGTAGGATCACAGCTGGATTTGCACCTATTCTTATACGATTTTGGAATACACCGGGAGCTGGCTGAAACGGATGCAGTTTTTTTAAAAAATGATTGATAAAATATATGTATATTTATCAAAGACGAACCATTTGTGTGAGGCAAGGATCATTGAAAACTGCAATATCAATGACATACTGTGTTTCGCCATTACCTCGTAGCCTGCATTCTGGTCTGCCTAAAAAAGATGAACTTAAGAAATGAAGCTTCTGCACATCATCTTGATTTCCGATTAAGAAAAAGCTGACCTGAGACTCCAACGACAATCCAGTCTGTGAACTTGCCATCCGGATAATAGTTAGGATTAAACTTGACCTCAATAGTTATGAGTTGAGATCCACAACGGGGAGTAACTGAAACAAAGAAGAATTGTTTCAGTATTATTTTAGTGGTCCTAATTATGTTTGTTTTTGTTCAGAATCTTCCATCTAATGGCTACATAGATAATTGTGTTCATGTTCCATCAAAAATTAGATAGAAAGTATTTTTTTCCTTTTTTTCACGTAATATATATGAAGATGCTTAATGCTATTAGTCCTTTTATAGATGACACAAGCTTGACGAGAGACAATTTTCTTAGGAAGAATGCCTGTTGACCATAATTAACTGAGTAAGACCAGAAAGTATCGCAACCGTGTTCCGGTTACAGTAATTAGTAGTCGGATAGACGAGAGGAGACATTTCTATTGTTAATTATGAAGAGAAATAGCGGAATGTGTTATTTGCATATCCTTTGAGGTTCAAAAAGAGACAGTTTCTTATTATTTTCTCTTCCACATCCATAAATGGCCAGTTGGCCTCAACACATTCAGGATTTGTTGAGTTTCAATCAGTGACGAAGGAGTAATTATTGAAAGATGGACAGTAGAGAAGAGAAAACCAAAAATGTAGCTTTGGAAGAGAAAATAGGAGACTGGTTTCTGTACTTTTCTTTTCAATTTCTATTCACCTTATAGTTTTAATTATGAAAAGTATAAAGAGATGAAGTCTTCTATTAATATCGTTTTCTGTTTATGATGAAAAAAAAGTTTGATGTTTTTCAAAAAGCTAGCCAGTAGAGATTATTTGTTTGAATGGTGAGGATTTAAAATTGCATTGAAATCGTTGAGGTTGAGTTGTTAAAATACAAATAATCCTTTTTGATGAAAGCTCAACATTTGAAAAGTAACCGGATGAAGGCAACTGCTGAAGACCAGTTTAGGTTTTTGGTTATCGGAAAGAATAGAAAGAAACCAATACATTAATGCGGTTTAAAGCTAATAGATAAAAGATTTTACTGAGCGTGACTAACCAATTGTGGTAGTCAATCACATATGTTACAGTGAATTACAGAAGTATCTGTTATTTATTATTTCTTTACATTATAGTTTTTAGTTGGATAAGTCAGAACAAGATAATCTCTCTACGCTATCTCACTCCTCTACCTAATTACCGTTATTTGGAAGTGTTCAAGTAGCGAAAGTAATAACATATGGAAAAGTCGAATCGAGTTTTCAGTAAGTACGAGTAAGGGAGAGTTAATAGAAAAAAAAGCAAAGAAAACTAACCTTGTACTCTTGGAGGCAATGAGAATTGACATAAAGAGGAAGAAATGAATGAGAATAATAGTATATATAATCGCATTTCTTTAACGATGTGGAAACATTCTATGATTATATCATCATATGAAGAAAGTCAGGTAAGAAATAGAAAGACCAACAAATACACGCTCTGAAAAAAAATTGAAATAAATAGTTATCTTGGGGGATGATAGACAGTGGACAATAGATCAGACAATACGAGCAACATACAAACTCCTAATTCTCCCATTTATCGGTTAAATTGATAGGATGCAAAGTTGAATTTGGAAAGACATACATATAAGAAAGCATGATATCACATAAGCAACGAAAATATACAAAAATAGGCAAAATGACGTCCAAAGTTTCGGTTCATCGAGTACACGAACTGCGAATAAAAAATTATTGGTCTGCGTTAAGTCAAAACACATGAATGAAATCCGGAAAAAAATTGAAAACGAGGAAGAATAGGCGTTGTTGATGACACAAAAAAAGAAATAAAGAAGGTATAATTTCAAAGAAGGAACGTAGAAACAAACTAAGAAAGACATATAATACCTCATATAGACTTAAGTTGAGAAATTTTATTAGCTGTGCGAAAAGGTGAAGTAAGAAGAAAGGTCGGATAGGTGGAAGTGAAAGAGAGATGATCGGTGGTAACCTCAAAAAGTTTTCATTGCCGTTTTTGTGTGACTTTCATAACTTTTTTTTTCTTCATTCTAAAACTTCAGTGTATTCGCAGAATTAGACAAAAGGCTAAAACTATTGAAACTATAAGAGGCGGAAGAGATTTTTTCAGAGCGTCTTGGCTTCGACACTACGGTCTGTTCTCTTCAAAAAAATACGGCATCAAATGGATTTCTGGTACGCGACTAACCTCTTCACACACTCGCAATTATCTTCCTCAACTAAATATATAGAAAACAACCCACACATTCACTTTCCATCCCATGGATAATGGGAATATTGAACTCAAATATCTCTACGAAATAGATATTCAACGAAAATTTTCATAATTTTTGAAACTGATACAACAAGTATAACTTCTACTAAAACTGATTCATATTTGTCAATAGTAGATATCCAAAAGTGGACAACCAGGTCAATAAGATCAGAACCTAATCTCGGAAATCCGCAAACGTTGGCACACACAATTATTATGAAAACTGGCTGCGCTATGAAAGATACAGGTAAAAGCCAGTTAGCAGAACAGTTTTGTCGGCATATTCAAGATACTCAACGGAAAAAAATGTCTATTCCATTTTCAACATTATGATCTATGAAGGATGAGAACCGTGAGAAGTTAGCAAGATGTAACTAATGACTGCCGTTCCGAACACTGTCAACAGTTATATGTTAATATTCAGTCTTTCACGGAAATATATAAATAAGAAAAGGAGGTATAAGAAAAAAGCAAATGGATGAATGAAGACTATCCCCCCGACCCTCATTGTACATGATCGGCGGCACAACTAATTGGTCTGGTCAGAATGTTCGGCCAGTCTTGTGCGTGTATGCATATGTGGGTGGAGGGATGTATACGGATAGAAAGAGTTTCTATTCCCTCAAACAAAAACTTATTGGCAGAATTATGAATGCAAACATGACAGAACATGGATAACACAAAAAACAAAACAAATCATTAAATGAACATATTGAAGCAATTAAAAGTCACTAAAAAAGGAAATTCTATGGAAATAGCAAAAACATTCAGCAAACAACTCACAACTTCTTCAGAAATTAAAATAAACGAAAGAAAGCTTCCAAGACCTAGTTACAGTTAAATAGTTCATGGCAAACGAAGCACCTATTGTACGAAAATGGATGCTTGACGAAAGGTACGATGAAGTACAATGAAAAACAAGCAAGAGCCAGATGTTACAGCCTATACGTGTGGAAAGTTGTCAAGGTCGCTCTCGATAAAGTAGTCGAAATTTGGTAAGTTTAGCTAGTGGAATAATACAAGCTTACGTAATATTCCTTTCTCTGAAGCTAACTACACGCAAATGATCAACAAGCCAATTATGCTGTTCTTCCATATACAAAAACTTTCATAATCTAGATTTTCGAGAACGTCTTCAAAATCAAGTAAGTTTCAACAAGCTTACTAATAACTTGGAACATGACATCCTACTCCTCTACTCTGATATGTTCGAAGGACTGATCCTTACCACATGTATTACATGTGAAAAGAAAACAACCGACTCTCGCAAGCAAATGAAAAAAAATGATTTTGAAAATTATCCGAGTCAATCCTTCGAACATCTTTGCAGTAGAATATTCATCAACAAACTTATAACTGTAAAATCGAACCTTCTTCATTCACATTACGATCTAAGAATTTTGTGTGGGAAGAAAACGAAAAATGGGATGATCAGAGAAGTTGTTCTTTTGTGATATACAAGCCCTTATTCGAAGCTTTTTACAAGATTATCCTTCTGAAGGATAAAGAATGGTTATATAGAAAGAACGCTTCGATGAACACTTAGAAAACGAAATACATGTGCGAAAAAAGGAACACAGGCCAATATCTACCATCATGAACCGATTGATGTCATGTTCATGAAACATCAATAGAATAAGGTTGGAAAAATAACCTTCTCAAATCCTGTCAGAGGTTAGAGTTGATGCACCAGAGGCGGAGTCACCCAACAGCATAGCAATTCGGTTCCCTCTACCTTCACACACACCCATAATTAGCAAGACTAGAAAAGTGAGGTCAGTATAGTTATTGTTTTGAAGATATGGAGCAACAACTTACTGATGCCAGACGCCTCCATAGCGAAAGAAGTATTCTATACTTATTTAACGCTGCTTAGCTTTAACTGATCACTTCGATCAGCACATCTTCAAATTAGAAAGAAAACTTTTGAAAAACAGAGAAATTCGAGCAGTTTATTTACAAGAGATTACAGTAACCATTCTTAATTGACGAGTCAAATTAGACGCCAGTTGATCCAAATCCTCCAGCTCCTCTCGTAGTGTTATCGAGAGTGTCGCATTCAACGTAATTACAATGAGCGATTTTTTCACAGATGAACTGTGCAATTCTATCACCTTTCTTGATCTGTTAAAAAAAGATAAATACTTTCAAAATCATGATAAAACATACAGCAAAATCAGTTTCACTGAAGTTGAAGAGAAGTACTTTCAAGATTCCGCGGTAGTCGCTATCAACAACACCTGCGCCAACATCAATAAAGTTCTTGGCAGCTAATCCAGATCGAGGAGCAACTCTTCCATAATATCCGAAAGGTAATTCTACTTGAATATCGGTGGAAACACAGAATTTTCCTGAGAAAAAATGTTATGACGTATTCGAATCCAGTCTCAGATTATACCTTTAGCAGGGACCATACAGTCCTCGGCACTGTACAAGTCAGCTCCAGCAGCACAGGCAGATCCGTAAGTAGGTGCGTGAGCATTCTCAGTAGTTCTAACGAAACGCACAGTCAATCGCTTTAAAAGAGCCATTTTCTAAATTTTAAAATATTTCAGACCTGCTCAGTAGTTTCAGAAGAAGACATGGTCTTTTCCTTAGAAGGTGAAGTGACGACGGTTCCAAAAGCCATTATAAAGCTAGGGGTTAGTTGTAAAATGAAAAGATTATTGAACGAATAACACACGAAGTGCTTTGAACTGAACGATACCAGTCGAACCTAGAGAACTAGATTGGAAACATTTGAATTTTTCGCGGGCGCGGGTCAAATAGTAGATTGCAATTGGAGCAGATAAAAGAAGAAAATTGATTAGTTTGTTTTTTTCTGAACAGGTAAAAGACCACGTGGACGGCTGCGTTTTCTCTCATCGCCCTCTACTGATCAGTATTATTTGAAGTATTCTTACGTATATTGAGAGAAACTTTTTAACAATAAATTTATACAATATAATCTGTTTTTGTTTAGTTCAATTGATGGTACTGTCCAAACCTTTGCGATCTCTCTTGTTAGGGAGGAATCCTTTAATTAAAACTCTCTCTTCCTATTCTGAAAACCATCATAATGGATCGAAAAATGAATACGCTAACTATAACAGTATAAATGGTACTGAAAACTCTTAGCTTTTTAATTGAACAGCCCAAATTTAGCAAAAACACTTCCTATCCTAGCTGGAGCTAGTTTACTTGGAGCTTACTATCTTTATGATAAGACTAGAACTATTCACGCTGATGCTAGCCATCAAATTAATAACGTCTCTCTAGATCGTCCTAGACGGCCTGAGTTACCGATTTACCGTAGCGATGATGTTAAAAAACATGGAAAATCTTCCGAGAGGATTTGGGTTACGTTTATGGATGTAAGTCAACAGACTAACAATGCTAAGCCAACGATTTTAGGGTGTGTATGATGTCACGGACTTTGTAATATCTCATCCTGGTGGAGATAAAATTTTGCTAGCTGCTGGGGGACCAGTTGATCCATTCTGGGCCTTATATGCCCAACATAAAACAGCAGAGGTATCAGATACTACTGAATGATAGTGATAGCACTGTTTGGTTTAAAGGTGTTCGAAATTCTGGAATCATTACGGATTGGTACTCTTCACCCAGATGACTTGAGTAATTCGAAAGAAGTACAGTTTAAGCGTGAAATAAGATGTGTGGGTTTTATCTCTTGAATAGGTTGATGCATCTGATCCTTTCTCTACTGATCCTATTCGTCACCCTGCGCTTGTTGTGAACAATGAAAAACCTTTTAATGCTGAGGGTCCACCGTCGCTTATTACTGATTCTTTCTATACTCCAAACGAGCTATTTTTTGTGCGTAATCATTTACCCGTTCCAAAGGTTAGTAGGCTTTTCCTGTGTGTAGTTCCATCTGCATGCTTCCTTCATCCAATTTCTTCCTGGTATTTCTATCACTTGCGTCTTCTTTTAGACTGACAAAGATTCCCATATCTTGAATATAGAGGGGATTGGCTTCAACAAACCCCTCACAATGTCCATAAAAGATCTCCAGAGCAAATACGAAGAAGTAACCATAGTTTCAGTCGTTCAATGTGCTGGAAATCGACGAGCTGAAATGAATGAGTTTGATTTTTCATCTCAGCTCAAACACGAAAAATTCATATTATAGATACAAAAAAGTAGCTGGTCTTATGTGGAAAGGCACTGCTATAGGTAATGCTAAATGGACCGGCGTTCGTCTACGAGTAAATGGCATCAAAATGAATAAGACATTATTAATTGTTTAAGGATGTTTTGATAGCGCATGGTGTTGATCCCAACAGCAAATCTATTAAGCATGTTCATATGGAAGGTGCAGATAAAGATCCAACAGGTTATCCTGAAATTAAAACTCATTTTCATCCCTAGTTTAGGCACACCGTACGGAGCTTCGATTCCTTTTGAAAAGGCTATGAGTCCTGAAACAGTTATAGCCTACAGAATGAATGATGTTGACATTCCTGCAGATCATGGAGCTCCTCTGAGATTGATTGTGCCCGGTTTGTGAAGCTAGAGGGTTTCAAAGTAATAGTTTTACCGCAGGAAATGTCGGTGCTAGACAAGTTAAATGGCTAACAATGATACGGTTAAGCGACGTGGAAAGTCCAAGTCACTGGCAGAGAAAGGATTACAGGTGCTTTTTCCTTATTATTGTAGTAAACATATTTTGCTTTGAAGAGTTTTCTCTCCACATGTCCAAATGGGAGACGAGTTAGACTGGGATAAGGTTCATTCTATTCAAGAGTACCCAATACAATGCACATTCTGTGTTCCGAGTACTCCTATAACTATTAGTCGAGGTTTGTTTGTTTGCAAAATGTGAGACCACGCCCCTTGAGCATGTACGTGAACGAGCGTTAGCGTCTATTATTTTCATTAATGTTGCGCAGAGGAGCGGTTGTTTTATCAGAGCTTCTCATTTAAACCTCAAGTCCCCCGTTTACAGAGGAGGAGTATGTTGATGTTTCCGGTTACGCATGGAGTGGAGGTGGTCGTGGAATCATCCGAGTCGAAGTTTCTGGCGATGGAGGCGAAACTTGGCAGAGTGCAGAGTTAGAGCAGGAGCCATCACAGGACGCTGTAAGATCATTGACTCTCGATTTATTTGAATGTATCGTTGTAGGAACACATGTGGGCCTGGACTCTCTTCAAAGCATCAGTTAAAATTCCCCAGGATGGATCCAAAATGATGTTAGTAGCAAAGGCGACGGACAGGTCAGTGTCAACTTGTTGAGAAAACTTTTTCCCTTTTTAGATCGTATAATACTCAGCCGGAAACGCCGGTAGGCATTTGGAACGTACGAGGTCTCCTACACAACGCTTGGCCTAGAATCGAAGTAACGGTTACAGATGAATGATGAAGAAATGAGAATAGTAGTTAGTTTTTCTTCATAATTAGTGGAACAAATTTTCTTTATTTTTCTTTTTTATGATTATACATATTTGTTTATGCATGTGATATCTATTAACGCGTATATTGATTCTGTGATATACTCTTGCCAAATCGTCCTATTTTCGGATGCGTCAGCTTAGTTTATAAGCAATCTCGTCTGCAATGATATCTATAAGTGTGATCGTTTACATTATAAATGTTTAGCGATTTTTGTGTTCTTCTCTTGACGAAGGATGTATCATACAGATTCTTATCTTAATTTCATTTTACTCCTTTCGATTTCTGGGGGAATATTCCAAGCAAGGTTGTATTATTACAATAGTTTACCTGCCACTTCTGCTTCTGTGATTTTGGAAGTTCCTTGCCTTTTTTTTATGGCTCTCACTGGTATCAGTCAGTGATGTGTTTATTGTCGGGAAGGGCACTATAGTTTACTTAAACCTTCTACATATTTGACAGCTTAGAGGCACTGATAAGCCTTATAGACAAATCACCTCACTCATATCGATTCTTTTTTTGATCATCCTATATAACTTAGCAAAAACTAAACTTTGTTTGTTGATTTTAGCAATGATTGACAAAATTATCAGTCATTTATATGTTTCTGGAGCGGGGCCGGTGTTACATGAGAGAGGACAACAGGAAATTCGGGATCTGAAGGTCTATTACTCACTAAATCATACGGACCTTTTTATATTCGGCTTCAGATTGGTCATGTTATCACTGTTTCTGCTATGGCTATACCTCTCGACAAGAGGATACCGAATATTAGATACACGTGAGTGTGGGGGTGTTCAACTCATTGTTTCATTCTCTACCTTAAGATTTGTGTTTGCCATGGATTTAGCTGAGCACGATATTCTATCAAGTTTGAATGAAGCCATTAACCATATAGATACTTCCATCAATGATGGAACCAATGTTTTAGTTCATTGGTAACTTTCATTTCGTTTTCGTCATCCTACCATCTCAACTTTAAGTGAAGCAGGGATGTCACGTAGTATAACAGTCGTCACTGCATATTTGATGAAGAGAAATAAGTGGAATTTAGAAAAGGCACTTACATTTGTGAGAAATATCCGTCCGATAGCACAGTAAGTTATAATTCGTACCAATTCATCTGAAATATCCCCTTAAAGCCCGAACGAGGGATTCCTGGAACAACTCAGAAACTTCGAGCTATTAGGCTATAACGCCAACAGGGAGAATATGAACTCATCCCAAGAACATCGTCTATGGAGAAATCGAACAGGAAACTCTCCTGCATCTAACAGTAGTGGTTTGTTAATGTCCATGTTCCATCGTTATTAAAAATTTATTGAGGTGAGAGCAGAAGTTCTGATGTTGACGTCAGCGCTTCTTCCTCTTCAATCAATGAGAATAAGTATAGGTACTAATTTCAAGCCATAAATACTCATAAACATTAAATTTCAGATGCGGAAAATGCAGACAAATCGTTTTCTATGAGAGGCATTTGATAAAACACAATCGATCTGATAATCAGGTAAACTATAAAAGAAACTAAGAATTGAAGAGGGAGAGAAAGAAAGAGAGATAAATAAATTTAAAAAACGTGATATCTTTGCAGCCTTGTACTCTATCTTTCATAATCGAGCCAATGAAATGGATGTCTACATCAGAATATCAAGGAAAGGTATGAGGAAATCAATTTCACTCTGTTTACTTCCCTATAAGGTGTGCTGTCCATCATGCAATGAAAAATTGGGAAATTACACTTGGGGTGGAAAACAATGTTTAGGAGAGGACGGATTCCATTGTAAACATTTGAGTAAGTTATCAACAAAGTCCTTTGAGCAACACTTAGTTTTTTTAGTTACTCCTTGGGTGCATCTTCACAAATCAAAGATTGATGTGGTGAAAAGTAGTCAGCAGACCATGGTCGCACCTAGAATACCAGCTGTTGTTATATCATAGATATTTTCCGGGTTTTTACATGTTGTCATGCGTTGGATACCTATTGTTACTAGTTACAAGATTTTATTAAACTTTTTCTTTTTCTATCTGATTACAGTTTCTTTAAAGCTTGTCTGTCTCATTTAACTTATCTTTCCTTGGTCTCTCGATAGAATAATTTATTTTTCCGTCTTCCTTTTCCAGAAAATGATCATATCTGTTGAATACTATGGTAGCGAGTCAAAGAATGCAATGGAAGTAAGCAAATCTAATTGTGTGAACAGTTTTTCGTTTTTTTTCTTCAAGATTCCTGGTGACCATATTACTGCTGCGGATTTCAAAGAGCGTCTTGAGGCTCACTTTAATCTGAAGTTGGATAGTAAAGCATTCATGTATGTGGAAGGTCTTCCCTACTCTTTCGGGGAAATGTTGGAGCAGAACGAAACACTCAAAGTAAGTATCCGGCTTCGGATTACGATCTAATTCATTTTTTAATAGAATACGGGATTACATGAACAAAGCTATTGTTTAGTTTCTTCAACGTTTGAAAAGCGCTGTATAATTCAGTCCATTGGAATTACAGGTGAAGTTCATCAATGCATGTTTCTGTTGAACGCTTTTTTTAGAGGATAAAATGGCGAACTTAATTAGATCTATCAAAGTTAAGCATGAGAACTTCAAAGCATTGCGTAATTACATGATAGCTCAAAGAGGGGGTTCCGAGGTTAGCGATCTCCTTGTTACACAGTTCCTTTTGATCGTTTTCAGTTGTATCAATCTCTACGTCAGAGCACGAATAATTATATCATGCACACTGCAGCGCATTCCTACCCCACTTTGATAGGTCACTATGAAGAACATCCTGATGATCTCGGTTTGTCATGTTATCCACAGTGCTCTGTAATCTTTGTTTTAGGAAGTTTCCTGATGTTGTTCACGGCGTCGTTTTTGGAACAACAGAGAGCCGCTCAACAACCAATATCTGAAGCGCAGAAAATAATCCATAGGTTCGGACAATTAACAAAAATTTACTCCTGTTTTTGCTTCAAAATGTTCTTCATTTATTTGAAAACTTACCTCTCATTTGAAAGATACAATTTATGATTGGGCTTACAGGAACAAGGCTGAGGCTATTGAGGAAAATCCTGAAATGCTCATCGAAACTAATATGCTCTATTTCCGCACGAAGATTAACGGAGTGGAAATTGTTGCTTTTGTAGACACTGGTGAGAAATTATTTGTAAACATAAACAGAACGTGTTTCTAAAGGTGCACAACAATCTCTGATATCCCCGCGATGTGTTCGAAACTGTAATCTAGAACATCTTATCGACCAGGGTTCATCCAGAACTTTCTATGGAATAGGTGGCATTCAGAAGAGTTACGGGCGGATATGGAAAGGTTTTAGTGTTAATTGAGATGTGAATCATAAATTTGCTGTTCAGCTGATATTGAAGTAACAGGACATCAAGTTCCTGTATCATTGCATGTTGTTGATGGAGCTCATGACATGCTACTAGGATTGGATATCATGCTGCGACATCGTGCAGTTATTGACTTAGCGGTGTGTGGCTATATGACTGTTAAAAAAAACTATTTTCGTCTCTAGAATCGAACAATCACATTTGGATCAGCCATTGGAAAGTTCTTAACTGACGAAGAGTCTGCGTTGATGCGTCGAGAGGAGGCTGAGAGAAGACTCGAAGATATGGACACTGATCCAAGCGTGTAAATACTCATGTAAGTAAGGGTTCCAGACTATCTGAAAAATGTGAAATGTGTTTTCTTTGTATTATCAATATGTGGTCTGTAAGCGTAATTCGTGTATATGTAATTCTTCCCGTTTTATTCGAATCTCTGTATTTCTTGATTGCCTTTTGAAGGTTTATTATTATTTAAAATATTTAATATGAAAACGTTAAGTATGTCACAAACTACTATTTGAGCACCGGTCATTTTTTTACCACGAAGGTTGGAACATATCACAGAAGAGAACCAAGATAGTTCTTCTTTTCTCAAACCATGTTTAAATGCAAAAAAGAGCAAAAATTATGCACTTTAAGCTTGAAAGAGATGAAGAAAACAACAGTTGAATGATTAAATAAGTCCTTCAACTGCTACAGGAGCTAAGTATGGTAGATCTTTTGCATGATTCTGTTCTTCAAACTGTGGTCTGTACTCTCCGTGGTTTCTCCTGCGATCTCTCATATAACGGAAAGTGAAGAATGCGACAACACCAATCACTAGTACAAGTGCCTAAAACAGTTTGGTTTAGTGTTATAACGGAAATTATGAATGGATTGTTTGAGGATGGATACATGTGCGGTAAGGAATTTAAGAAATGATTGAAGATTGATTGCCTTTCTTCAAAGAATAAGCTTTCAAGTGTATGAAGCAGAGAGGAATCGTGAAAGACGGATGATACTTCGCCCGAATGTGTAGAGATATTTCAATTGAATTTTCATTGGGTCAGTGTGGTTAAACAATAGAACTGACACTCAAGGTTATTTCTTTTCTTTCGCACAACACGTTTACTTATAAACATTTTCTACTTAAAAAAGTTGTCACATTCCGTCAAACAAGGAAGAGATCATTTAAGATGAGTTTTCATCCGAAAACTTCCATGAAAGTAAAATTGCACTCACAATTATTCCGCATATGAGACCTGCAGTAGCGGGTCCACTTAGTTTGCCACTTTTTGTGGTTGTCTCAAGAAGCTCAGAGGCTAATTCAGCTGTACTGTTCATGACTGGACGGTAACGGAGAAATGTACTAAAAAAAATAGTTTTTAACTGTAAGTATTAGGTGAACTCACCTGTCAAGAATGGAATTCAATGGCTGAACTTGATATCCTGTAGCTGTTTGTGGTATACGATTAGTCAGAAGGGAGAGCTCCCTTAGGGAAGATGTCGGAGGACAAACACAGAATAGCTCTTTCTCGGATGTCCGACAGCCAGTTATTACAGCTGAGACAGTTGATGCTGAAAAAATTACTCTCAGTTTGTTTTAAATTGCAATAACAAAGAGAACAACTGCATGCGCTGACTTAAGATGAAAAATGAAAATGAGTTATCGGGGCGGTCTTACGTGGAATGTACAAATGCTAATGAAGTTCCAAATGATCATGACGTGAAAAACAAAGATGATGAAACTGAAATCGAGAAACATTCTCTTTTTTCAGCTTCTGAACATCTTTGGATGTGAATTAGGTACAAGCAAAACAAACAATTGGCTTTGTAAGGACAATGTCTGTCGAAGAAGACTCCCTTTATAACATTTAAAGAGCAGAAAAAGTGGATGTCTTTCTAACTGTGAAAACAGGATTCCGGATTATTTAACAATTGAAAGAACACAATACATTTACAGCGGATATCTTTAGCATAAATGAAGAATTAAACACTGGACGTGTTAGTCATTAGAAGGTGACAATGAAATTGAAAAGATGCTTCAAACGCAAGAAATTGTGAAGCTCTCTTGTAGTGTAAGAGGAACTAGATGACTTCATGTGTAAAGTGTCTTAAATGGATCAAGATGGTGGAGTTTTTGTTTTTTTTTATACATATGATATTCAAAATTGACAAGCATCCACTGGGAATGTAAGAACAAGATGACAAAGACAAAAGAAAGAGGGGGAGGAGTGATGGGGAAAGATTAGAAAGTACGAAAAAACAACAAAAAGTATTAAATTTTGTGGAAAAGGAAGTGTTGGGTATCGTTAAAGAAATGAAAATGTATGCAGGTGGTTACTGGCTAAATGAAGCTTCGAAGCATATGTAACTTGAGCCGTCGCGTAGAAGCTTAATATGAACAGATGTGGAAGACAGGCTATTGGTCCAAAAGAGACGTTCAATACGTTACTTCAATAAAACAATTTTGAAGCATAAAAGACAAAAGAAAAAAAAGAGGAGAAAAAACATTATTGCGAACGTCTTGGGCATATTCAGCCGTATCGTGTGAATCATTTTATGATAATCAAATATTTTTGAACAAATATTATGGTGGGAAGAATACTGGGACCAAAATCGCCGGCTGAAGAAAATAAAGAATTTTTAAAATTTCATCGATTTTTCCATTGAAATCGATAAGAAAAGTGCGACAGATTGGGGGTGTTTAGGCTAGGAGGTGATGATGATGAAGGGTGAAGGTCTAAGTAGGCAAATGCCTGAACATGTCACTATGTTTGGAGAGATTAGTTCAAGATTGAGAGTACAATGCACGATCGGCTGTTTTTTGGAAGCTTAATTCCAATTTTTATAGAAACACGAAAAAAAAGGTGCTAAAGAAGATTAAAAGTGTAACATTTTATGAAAAGAAATCAAAGGAAGAACCGGCTAACGAGAAGAGAAGTGATAACTGAAATCTCACACTTATTTGATTTAGATGAGAACAGGAAGAGATCTATTTGAGACAGAAGTTTGCACTGTATAATGCAAATAATTTTCTTTTTTGCTATCTATTCAAATTAATTGTAAATCATAACTGTTCTTCTGATAGCGAACATTCCGAATTTTCATTCGAAATGCTTAATGAATGGAACAGTTATAATATTCGTAGACAATATATGAAATGCAACATGCATTTGTGAACCCGGAGCTGCTCAGCTTCATCAATAAGCTTCTGTTCATACTTAAACGTGCGTTGCTATAGGAACAGTGGAAGAAATTCTCCTCGTGTTTATCGGAACTTTGAACGCAAAGGACGGAAAGCTGTTTCAAAGAGAAATTTGATATTGCAGAGATGAGATAAACAATTGGTTCAAAAAATAAATGAAAAGAAAAAAATACATGTGTGCTCCAGAGTGTTTCCCTTAAAAAGGTGTCTATTGTCCTTCTGTTTGCGGATGAAGTTGATGGAAGATGTTTCAAATATAGTAACATTGGGAAATTCGAGGTTATTCGAGATGATTTCAAGATGAGACTTACGGACGAACAATGAGGATTCCACAAAAAGTAGTATAGAAAAAGTAGAATTCGAAAGTTTATTCGATCACATTGAGAATAACTGGCCCGCCCGAAGTACTTTAGGAGAAGTTTGAACGATGACTGCTTGTGCTTCAAAGGCAGAAAAGCAGACAATGAAAATCGAAAAAAAAATAATTAACAATTTAAAATCGTAAACTTTAAGCTAATCCTCCTTTTTTGCTACAGACAATAAGTTACTTGAAAGAAAACTATGGGTGGATTCACTAAAGTTTACGAGACAACAGTCGCCTGTCGATCACGCTGGCAAGTTGCCGACAATAAGACGGCGACGACGACGATGACATGACGATGTCGCCAGTCAAGCGACTGGTTTTTATAGAAAAGGCCATATTTTCGTTTAAAAGAAAACTATAATTCCCATAATAAGCCATACCATTCAAATTTTTGGGTTGAGAGAGTGAGAATGGGAAAGGGAATGCAAATTAGGTTTTTCTGTTCAGCTACAGAAAAAATATGAAGTAGAAGTATGTATACTAGAAAGAGAACAGTGAATGCTAAAACGAACTGAAACATTGTGACTGTTTGACTCATTATGACTGCATTCTCTCTCACTATTTTGCTATGAAGTCTCGAAGAAAACTGTGACAGAAAGTTCTTTACTGACGATTTGCTCTCAACTCTACTTTTCTTCAAATATCATATTGTCTTCTCTCTTATGACTTCTTGGTGCTGATCTGCCGAAATGATTCTGTTTGTTTCTTCGTATCTCCTCACGTCATCTAGCAAGCAAATAACTAGTCCGTCATATACAAAATCACAACTTTGGAAGTTATGTACGTTCCGTTTCTATCTTGTCTCCAGGAGAAATCTCTTGAGACTCTTCAGGAGCGTAACAAATGAAATTAGCGAACAAATGATGTGATATTATTTAAGTTAGTTATAAACACATGCAAGAAGAAGAAAATTTGTAAAAACGTGAGTCTCACAGCTACAACAACAGTAGCAGAGGATCGTTACGTTACCATCTTAGTCGATTGTTCAAAAAATAAAGAAAAGAAGAGGAAATACATTTTTTGCCACTAACAATGAAATAAATAGAATATTTGTAAATATACTTAAGATGTATGTCAGATTACAAAGTGGAAGTTTGTAAAACTTAAGCAAAAAAAAAAGGAAAAAAAATAAGAATAATTACAAATAGAATGCAACCGCTCAACGTGTAATCCGAAATCAAAATAAAACTCATAGGGTCATGCAAATTTTGCGGTAATCGGACACGTAACACGTGAAGATGTTTGAACGGGAGGAAACGTATGTAATGTTACGTATATATGTATATAACTTTCAACAAAAAAAAAGCCTTATTTGATGGCAAAATATTATTTTTTGAAGCCAAATGAGAGAACGTATGAGTTATTTCGTACTTTCAACTCAAAAACAGCTCATTAATTATCATATTTTTAAAGAATCTCATTAATCAATCTATGGAAGGCGAAAAAAAATTGTGAATGGAGAACGAAACCTTAATTTCTTGAAAACTAAAAAGAATTCAGTTGATGGAGAGGTCATAATGGAATCATCCTTAATCACTGATCGGAAAAAAAAAGTTTCTGACAACGATATTGGGATAGAGAGAGTAAGACACAAAGACAGCAAAATATGAGAAAAGGAATAACTGAAGGGATGGAGGGTGTGAGAAGGGTTACCAGAAATAAGCCACAGTTCTCTACTTCGTTTTGATAAATGAACGGAAGATGTCAGAAACTGAAAAATGCTAAGACCACGGTCAAGAATTCATTGACCCCAAGGGCAAAAACGTGATGAAGAACAGAGAGGATGGAAGAATAAAAATAATTCAAATCGAATGGAAAAAAAAGGAAAAAAAAAGAGTCAAAGATGAAACTCGTTGAAAAACTCTCCGGACGTGAATGTTTGAACGCGTTGTTGACAACATTCGGCTTGATCATAGGAAACTACCTGTTGTGGATTAACATCGTCACACACGCGACATCGTCAATGATGAGAGAACGACAAAAACTACTCGACTATAGATGGGCGGAAGATGTGAAAGAAGAAGTCATTTTCAAGTACCAGTTTCCTTTTAAATATTTTATTGTAAGAAGGTATATTTCTGATTGTTTCAACTATTTAAGACGATAGGATTTTGCTTTTGTTTGAACGCAAGTTGTACGAACTATACATCGGAGAGTACAGCGAGAGAGAGAAAAGGAAAAAGAAAGGAAAAAGTTACATGAATCTTTAAGAGTTGATTGATCTTTATGAAGAATATAAAAAGAATTAGAAGAATTTGCCTGGAGAAGCCCAAAGAAAGTAAAGTAATAAAGTTTTAGGTTCTGTACGATGATTAACGTAGGTGGAAATGCATTTGATAATATGACAAGCTATTAATTTGATAAGACGAAAGATAATAGACTATTGGAATGACAAACTAGCCAATGATTAATCAATTTAAGACTATATCATTTCTAATTATTTTAGAAATTTCAAAAATAACAAAAACATCGGAAATGGTGTGGAGTCGTCGCATTGATGCACGATTGAAATGAGTGAGTAAGAGGGCTCAGTAATCGAATTATTATTGACTTTGTAATAAAATAGAACGAAAGTACTCTTTCTCACTTTCTTTCTTATTATTCTTTTTTTTCTTTTCTTTATTTTCTTTTGATTCTCTTTTCCAGTTTAATTGATTACAGAGAGCTGCACTAGCTCCAGAGAAATACTCTAAGAAAGACTGTTCGCCCATAATCTACGTACATATCGTTTATACAAAGCGATTATGAAATAGTCTTCTTTCTTCAATTTCTTACGAAAAATCTTTTTGTTCGAAGTTTGTTTGCTGAAATATCATGAATAACACGAGAATGACCAATATTAAAAATGAAAACGCGATGACCATATAAGGAAGAGTAAAAACTGCAAAGAAAGAGTTTTTCGTCCGAAACTATGATCTATAGAGGGCTCAAGTCATTGTGATTACTTGATGGAAAAATCTGGTTTTTGGTGAGGAGTCAGTTTTGAGATCATATGAAGAAAGAATTAAAAATCAGTTGAACTTGAGGATGGAGAATGCAATTCGTTTGCATCCAGAATGAAACAAAGAGAAATTCTTCCTAGTATGGAAGTGTTCTTTTGAAGATTCGAACATGCAAAAACAAAGCAGTACATCACTTCTTTATTGAGGACTCCAGGAAGTAGGAGAGGGCGTATTGCACAAGAATCAAATTCAAGTTCGTTTATGATTCAAAAACTTCTGTGGGCGAGGGAACGACGTACAGACAACATTTGCCTTTGTTGGAGTTGGGAGAAACTGTTTCTTTGAGGTTGTTTGTGTTTGAGTAATATATTTGAAGAAAAGAAAGAAAAAATCTCATAAATCACATCAATCACATGCAGGGGGCGTAAAGACGAAGATAGTTACCTAGCAAGCAGCGAATTTGTGTGAAGCACAAGATATGTGTGCATGGTGGAGATTCAGCACAACTTGTATGTTCAGCTAGAAGTACAAACGGCTCAGCAGCACACTGCATAATGATTTCTGAAAATCAAGAAATGATTGTAAAGAATATTTCTTCAACACGAAAACATTGAGAAAAGAAAAGATCGGAGTGACTGTTATTATATATATATAGCCAGTTTATATTTTATTTGCATATCATGGAGAAACAGTTTCTAAAGACTTAAGAAGCCGATCGCATACAGATTTGCTCAAACAATTGATGAAGAAAAAACAAAAAAACATGAAATTTTCATAAATTTCTCACAGCAATTCTTGTCTTAAGAGCAAGTTCTGTTAAAGCTTATTGGGTGCGCAATACAGACAATTCATCTGGCTCGCCGTCGTCGGTAACAATATAGCCAATGGACTAGTAGATTTAGAAGAAGAACAGTCAGCCCATCCCAAACAGAAACTTAATAGGAGAGATTGTAAAGAGTATAAAATCAGAATAATAGAAGAGAAATACAAGAGATACATGTTTAGATAGGGCCATTGATGAGAGGTTATATATGTGCTTTTTTCATAACTATAACCTGAAAGAGATTTTAAGTCGCCTCAGGGCAGCAGATAGGCTCATGTACTGGACACAGCTAATACTCAAACTGGTTTACATCAACGATAACAGTAAAATTATAAATATTAGTAGCTCTCTCTCACTATCTCACTCATTTCACAACTTAAAACAATAAATTATGTTGTATGGCTCGGAAGTTCTTAAGTGAGAGGAGGATGTCGTTCCACTTCAAAGCCTAATGAATGACTTGCTCAAATATTGTCTATATTCGTCATTTACTTCTTAAGCGACCTTTAGCTCACATTTGCAGCTACCTTTTGTGTAAATCTTCCTAAAGAAAGTTTTTGTTACACAAGTAAAGAGCAGAACATTTGTTTCAATTAAGGATACGCTCCGCTTGCAGAAGCAATCAACTGAATTGACACATATATTCAAATCAAATTGTAAATCATTCAATTGTTTTTTTCCGCTCTGCTCCAAACCATCCCCCGCACTTCTGTTTTACTATGAAAATGAACTCAATTAGCACTTCGTCGTGCATTTTCGTGCCTTCTGATGTCTTGTTCGTCTAGACATGGTTACGTGAAATTCCTGCAAACCACTTGCAGTTGACCTTGTATGTTATGCGAGTTTTGACCTTAAATCAAGCATTTTCTACAAGTTTATGGTTAAGTTTACAACTATTGGATTAAGTAGAAGTGAAGATAGCCCTTAGATCTGAACAATTCCTCTTCAAAGTACAAAGATTTGTTTTCCTCAATCGACAACTCTTCATCAACAGAAACATTTCATTTTTATGCAAACAACAAGATAATCATATTAAAAATGATAAAAAAATCTCTTTGAAAGTATCGAGAGAGAAGAAGAGAATGACAAAAGACAAAATGAGACAGACAGAGATTTGTAAAAAAAAAAAGTTGAGAACACAAAACGAAAAGGGAACAAAATTTAAAACAAAAAAATACAGATAGTTTAAGCTAAGATTCCAATTGGTTCGTCTTCAATGCCACAAGCATTCACTCCTCGAGCAAAGTAGACGTATCCATTCTCAGTTCCCCAAGTATCTCCCCAAGAGTTCTTTACGATCCAGTAAGGTTCTCCACGTTCAGATACACCATATCCAACAATCATCAGAGCATGAAGACCAATAACCTTTAATAGACTTCATCTAGCATCCTCAACTAATTCAATTACCTTGTTTTTGCAATCGTCTTCGTTTGGCCAGAAAACACCTTCCTTATAAGCTCTCATGGGTTGAGTAACAGAAATACCGATGTTCACGGGTCCGAAGTTAACAAGCCAGTCGATCATGGATTTCTCATCAGGGTGAAGGAAATAAGCAACCTTAACAACAAATGTAACTTGCTGATTCGTTGTAGCCAAACCTCAATCTTGGTGACATTTCCGTGTACGCTGCAGCTGTTTTGACGATGAGCTACATAGGGCAATTCAGTGGCATAAGCTAATCCGTTGCGATGAATGTATCTAAAAGAATATTTTTGTACAAAAGAAGTTTGTTTTATGATTTTACCTGAAGGCCTTGTCTTCATCTCCACCGTCACAAGCATTGTCTGCAAAATCACAATCCAAGAGTGTTTGTTCAGACAAGTTACGCTTCTCTCCATGAGAAATAGCATAAGCTGCCTCTACGGTAGCAGTAGCAGCAAAAGCCCAGCATGATCCGCACTGTCCTTAAACAAAGCATTTAATTCATCAAAACATTTCAACATGAAGCTCTTCAATCAAAAGATTACCTTGAGCTTTAACAGGGGTGATAACATTCTTATCTCTCCAGTCGAAATGCTCGGGAAGAGGAGCAGCTCTCTCTCTGGTGGGAGGATCATTACGAATGAAAGTGGCTTCTTTACGGAGTGTCTTGTAGAAAGTTTTGGGAAGAAGTGTCTTCAAAAGCTTTCATGAAGAAAATTATTAAAAACAACAGAGTACCTTTGCGAACTCTTCATCTGACCAGTCAGACAGATCGTTCTCGCCATAAACAGCTCCATAAGTCTCTTGTTCATTCAAAAGCTCAATATCTACAAGCAACCATTAAGATATTTTCTCTTTCAAGCTATCTTACACTTCAAGCTTTTTTCGTAGTTCTTGAACTTCTCCATGGTTTGGTTGTTGGTATATTCACGTGAATACCTGTGCAAAGATATGTTGTATGCTCTGTTGAAAGAAAAAAAGAAACTTTGCCATAAAAGCGATGTATCGATCAACATATGGAAGAGAAGGAGCATCGATTTCTGGGCTGAAAGAGTTAGAATGATCCATGACGGAAACATATTGTTGTTTCATTGACCTGTAAGTAGCTCATAATATTTTTTTTTCTCCCATTTTTTTCGTTCTATTTTCATTTTTATCACCCAAATTTCTGCTTATTATGATTTTGTCTTGTAAATGCTCTTATCAAATTACAAAATGAAAATTATAATTTGATAAAAAGGTTGAAGAACTGATAACTTTAAAGTAGCAATAATGAGCATTGCCTTATAGTTAATGTTTTTTTTTGTATAAAAATCATATAATATGTTTGAATCTTACTTTACGAGGAAAGCGAAGGTCAGTGATACAGTCAGAGCAAAGAGGAAGATTACGAGGAATCGGCTGTAACTCAAGTTTCAGAAATATCTTCTGATTTCATAACAACTTACAGAGCAACCTTCCAGATAAATCCTCGACTGGATTGGGTTCTTCTCTCTTCTTGATCATCTTGAATGATTAAGAACTGAGCATCTTTGCTCTGCACCAACGGTTTTGACCTTAAGTATTTTTATGATTTTTTCATTAAAAAAAAATAATTTTAAAAAAAAAGTTTGAAACACACGCTTACCTCACGGAGACCATGATCGACAATCAATAGTAGATAGAAATTTTATCAGAAAACTGCTTTGTAAAGCTCCACCTTTTTATCTTTTTTATCAGTTTCTTTTCAATTACCAAAATCATAGTATGATTCTCATCCAGAATCGCAAAGATCAGCTTTATACAACCAGACAGGTACATTGATCATCTCAGTGGTATTGTGATATGGTTAGTTCATAAGGAAAATGAAGAAAAGGAATGAAAACGATAAATTTTTATTAAAGCTCTGTGATGTTCTAAAAACATCAAATACATATATGTACAGTTTATGATACTTTAAGTATATAGCATATAATATAAGAATCGAGATCATTAACCGGAAAAAGGCACTCCTTCAATAAACTATTTTCAAAAAGTTGAAAGGAAGTCGCGTTGAAACCCGCATTAACGACATACCAAGAACTGATAAACTCCTATGGCAAATGAGAGTAAGTGGTAGGTTTTTGATGAAAAAAGAGAGAAGAAAGTGTTGAATTTTTAGGAATGAACAAAGAATTATGAAATAGTAGAAGTTTGGCTGAGATAGAGTGGGTTTGTACAAGTAAAGCTTAAGATCCAACAGTGCTCAGTATACCAGCCGCGAGGGAGAGTATGATAAGCAAAAATAGTAAATGACATGTTTTTTTCCAATAAAATGAGATAAAAAATAGAAATTTGAGTAAAAAAAGGCGAATTGAGCAAATCACTGCAACAGTTGAGGGGGTGGGCAAAGAAAATGAGAACTGAATTATCATTTCTAAGCGTATGAGTCAGTAAGTTTTGTCGTCTTTTCTGATACACGAACAGGACACTTTTTGGATAAAGTACAACGAAGTATGACAATAATGAAGAAGATGAGAGTGATGCATAAGGCAACGAAAACATATTCCCATTGTAAGAGAGCAGAAATATGAGGTCGTTCAATGCGGGTGTGAACTTCACTTACAGCTTCTCTTCCGAGTAAATCATAATTGATTAAGCGGATGGTGTAGTCACACTTTTCACCCTCTAAGTAGATCTGATTCGTGGTACTGGCAGAGTTTGTATAAACACTCTGGGTTTCGGTTTGACAGCCATATTCCTTGCTAGATGTGCTGTAGTACTCAATCTGATAAATGAGCACATTGTCCACATTAGCCGAGGCTTTCCAGGTAAGAAGAGCTGACCCATTCGATCGAACTCTAACATGAAGATCCGCAACTGATTCGGGTGCTGAAAAAGATACAGATTTACAAATTTTCCTGATCTTGCTATACTTACCACAATTCAAGCTGCCTTTTCCATGAACTTTAGAGCATTCGAATGAACGGAACTTCGAAGATAGAGCTCGGCTGGGAATTCGCTCTAGCTCATCTCGTGGGAGTGGTAGAGCAGCGATTGAGACAGTGTATGGGCTGTCGAACTCCAAATGAGTCAGAAGAATGGAAACCGAAGAATCCATGGTGATATCTCTAGTGATTCTTTCTGTGGCGTTTGCAAATTCCAGTCGATGATGGCAGCTATCATATGCTGTTCGTGGCCAGTGCAAGTTAGCAATAACACCTTGTTCCGAATTGTAACCGTTTTTGACAATCAATGGACCACCTAGAAAATATAAATGAGTAAAAAAGTTGTAACTATGACTAGATTAAAAGTTAAGATTATCGATAAACGTACCAGGAATTTTGAGAACTGGAGAGCCACTGACTTCAGCCCAGACGCTGGTTACAGTATCTCCGAGGCGACCATTTGGGCCTACAACGGTGACTTTGAACTGATACTGAAGCCCAGGAATGAGCCCTTCAACGCGGAATCTAGTCAGAGATTCAATAGATGCGGTGATCCAATTGCTCTCGTCATATTCGCCTAATGCATGAGTTCGCTGTTTCCACTGCACAATATAACGTACAGGTCCACTAGGGCGAAGTAGCCGGACTCCAATGAGGCCTGAAACACAGATAATAAGATAACACGAAGAGCTATTGAAATCTCACCTTCGGCAGACTCTTCAATTTCGTCATTGGTAGAGGGATTCTGGCATAAGAGTTCAACAGAATGAACAGGAGACGTTCCTATTTTGGCGGAATCAGCTGAGCTTTCCATCCAGAAACGAGATCCTTCGTGTAAAGCCGATTTCGTGGAGCGAGTAACTTTTTTGTGTGAACGGCGAAGTTGTTGACAACCATTTTCGCACATTTTTCCGTCTTCAGATTGAATTTCGACAAATTCTTCTATGCTGCCATCAAGAAGATGTCTTCTGGTAGCTACTCCATACTGAAAAAAAGAAAATGAACTTCTGATTTGGAATACCAATGGATGATTGAAAGAGAAGCTTGGACAAAGAAGGGATAGGGTAACTAAGAGAAGTGTGAAATATTGCTAAAAAGGAACGTCTTTTCCTAGTCCATCTCATTAAGATGAACACAACAGCTGCTCTTACATGCGCTTTCACACGCTCACGTAAACAACAACAATTGATGTTTTGAGAAGAGAATGATTCAAAATCTCGAAAATAGACATATGATACTTTCAAATCAAAGATACGTTTAACACAGAAGTACACCTGTGTCATCAAAATTGTGAAGAATTCAATGAGGGGAATCAAATTATGCAGGAATGACATAGAGTTTTCAACTTGATAGTGAACATGAATAAGTTTCAGAAAGAAATACGATTACTTGACAGTATCTAGCTTAGGAGAGCCAATCATTCTCATGGCATTTCAGAAATGAAAAAAAATTTCCTGTTTATGCATCAAGATTGAATGAAGACAGGGGAGAGGAAGGAGAACGAACGAGTACAGAGATACACATGTAAATATTATGATGTGAATGGGAATAAAGAGTATAAGAACCAAAAAAAGGGATGAGGAGAAAGAAAAAAGAAAGTTTAAACGAACCTTTTCAGCACACTTCGCCTGACATTGAGCTAATCGGAAATAGTAAGCATAGTCTATTTGGATGTACGGAACCACCGTGAAAGAGAATGTGTAAATTGGCAGTAAAGCAAATATTAACAGGTTCACCATGATCTGCAAATACAATGTTTTCATTAACTATACGTATGGTCAGAAATATTTTTTCTGTTAAAGAAGAACTGTTCTGAGAACAAAGCGATAGACGACGAACAATGTATGAAGACGAATGTTAAATCAAATAAATCAATTTCATAGAACCATAATTAAATATTTAATTATCTAACTAAGAACATGCAAATTCATAAAGATGTCGATGCAAATGGTCATACATGTGTGATACTTGAAACGCGAGAATTCTGATGAGCAACAACATTCAATCTTCAGAAAGCTTTTAAAGAGGAAGAGGAAAACGAATCCTTACTGTTCAAAGAGAACACAAGTTCTCTCACATCATCTAAGGACATTTTGAAAGACATAAGAGCTTTCTATGGTCAAAGAATTAACAGATTGGAAACTCTTGTCCATAGAATGACAATGGACCATTGGAATATTTTCTTTCAAAAGGAAACATTTATGAACTTCAGCGCAAAGCTATCAAAGAAATAAATAAGCCGATAATGATAACAGAATAAAACGAAACAAGTTGTTCATAAAATAAAAAATAAAACGAAAAGCCGCAGTAATTGTGAACCACTGTAGAGCTAGAAGAGAAGAAGCTTCAAACAAAACAAATATAACTCAAAAGTTAATGAAAAGAGCTCAGTTTGACATGAGCAAACATATCCTTATACTGAAGACAATACCCTTACTTCTCATACCCACGACAGTGGGAGGAGTTATGTGGGGCGGATCGAGTCAAATCGTTTAAGATAGCAGATGGGGCGGAGCCAATATTGTACTGCCGCACCACGGCTGTTAGGGTTAAGAGAGATGAGCAAGACTAAACTAAGCGAAAAAAACTAGGTGAAGATATGAGAATAAGATACAAGTGGGTGGGTACATCCGGGATGGAGGAGGAGCAACTCTTTGCTTAAGAAAACAATAATAAATGCCAATGGATGAGAGACTTATTATTAAAGAAAGACTAGTTTTGTTTGGTAGGTTGACTGAATGCCATTGACTGATTATTGACTATATATAGATGCTACGAATGTTCACACCTTTCTTACAGAATGCTTCTGGCATGCCATCCACTCAATCTGTAGGTCATTTGAATCAAGAGAATCGAAGTGTGAACAAGAAAATTGCTCAGATTAATCCAACGGATTATCAATGTTGTCAAGTGAAAATGACTGGATTTGACCCTCCATCTCATTCCTTAACCCTTTCTCTCTCTTTCCAAAACAGCTTGACATCTAAGCTTAGCACCTTTCCTGTGGCTATTCTTAAGATAATCAAAAAGAATAAAAGCGAATGTTTCCACAAAACAATAACAATTAGAGCAAAAGGCAGAAAATAAAACGTGCAAATTGAAGGAAGAAAAGTCAGCGAAAAGAAGTGTTTTGTCATCTTTTTTGCTTCTTTATTCCGCCGTTGTACGAATTATGAATGAAGACAACCCAAATATCATTTGTGATTTCCAAAAATGTCTGTTAAATAGCAGATCAACAAAAACGAAAATGATAGCTTGAGGCAAAAATAGGAAAGATTATACCCGTCACACACTTTCACGGAATATAGAATATGGCTGGAAACCTTATTTGGGACGAGATTAAGATAAAACCTCAATTGATTATATCATATAGGGAAGGAGGAAGAACATAAAATGACGTAATGACAAATAAAACTCAATTATATTCAAAAATAATAATAATTTTCTTATTGAGAGTGAGTAAGCTGTTCGCTTGGCATCATCACAAGAAATCAGCCCTATTAACGCGAACAAAAAAATACGAAAGATAGCTGTAAGGAAGGAAACAGCAGTTGCTTTCAATTGCAATTCTCCCTCTAGTTCTTTTATAATCTAATTTCAGATAAGAGATGAGCGTGATCGTTGAGTTAAGTTGAGTTGAATTGCTGACAGACATCACGACAAAAGAATAAAAAAATTTCTTTTAAATTACTTTTTTAAAAAACAAAACATTTTTGTCACAAAATGTGAGATGCTATGAATGGGATAAGCAAAGACAGAGAGAGAGAGGGGGAACATCCATTCGTCAGATTTTTGAATGTGTAGGAATTCATTTGAGATGATTTAGCGATGCGAATGCTCATGAAAAGCTTATCAACTATGGAAAGATGAATGATGTAAATGAGGAAAAAAGTTGGTTGAACATCCAAACAAGGAATAAAAAATAAATAAATAAAACAAGAAATAGTTGATGAGAGTAAGAAGAGCTTTCTCAATCAATGAATTAGCAAAGAAAACGATGGATGCAAAAAGAAAAAAACGATAGATTGAGAGAAGAAGAGAAAGATAGAGGGAAAAGCCCTTGAGATGTCGCTTGAAAAAGCCGGAAGAAGTAAGAGAGAGAAAGAGAAACATAGATATACGAAGTAACCATAGACGGATAGATGATTAAATGTGTGGAAGAAGGTGGAAATACATTAAAATAACTTTATTTTCTTCTTCAAATAAAAAATGAGAGAAAAGAAATGAATCAATAGGACTGGTAACTTACTAATAAGGATTGAGTAGATTGATTGGTTGAGTGAAAAGAAAAAAATTACAAACTTTCTGTAGTTTGCTCCTAAAGAGACATATAGAGAGTAATGATCTGTCTTTTTTTGCGTTTGAATAAATAAAATTAGTTTGAATAACATAATTAGCATAATTAATATTCCATATTGGGACAAAGAAGGAAAATTTTGTTTTGAATTTTCATGAAGACGAAATGACCAACAGATCATCAGACGTCCTGATTTCGATGAGTGACGTACTCATGAACGACTAAAGGAGATGAATGAATGATCTGTCAAGAAATTCACAAAAAATATAAGAAAGTTGAACTGCATAACCTTCGGCTAAGATGCGCAAAAGATGAAAGAAAACGGATGTCTTCAATCGCTCATTTCATGATATCTTCTTAACCACTGCCCGGATGTGTTATAACCGTCGGAACTACCGTAGGCTTATGAAGAATTTCATTTTTGAAAAAAGAACTGTACCGATCAGCCCATTAGGAGTTCTAACTGATGGTTATAATGATTGCTAGATGAAAGCAAGCCGCTATGAACCCAAATAATTTTTTTTTCAAAATATCTAAATAGCCACATGAAAGAATAATGACGAGAATGAAATGAATGAAAATCTGAAAGCATCTTGAGTACTTTCCATAAATGGAACGTGAAGATAAGGAAGACCTTATAAAGTGTCTTGAGAACGTTTGAGCTCAATGAATCGAATCTTGAATTATTAATCAGAAGAGAGAAAGATAGAAGTGAAATGAATGAAAGAGTTTCTAAACATCAGAAATGTCACCATTTCAAAATCAATTTGAGTATTCACAGAAAAAGAAGCTTCAAAAACTTTTTTTTTTCGATCACAATGAAGCATATAAAGGGAGGGAGGATAACTAAGTTTATGGAAAAATAGAAACAAAACCTTTGTGGCAACAACTGAGAGGGAGTATGGAGGACGATGATCAGGTAATTTGATAGACCAGATTTAATTTTGAAAATAAAGGTCGTTGAGCAGCCTTTATGATTTTCTAGTCAAGGTCTTCTCTTCTATTATCCACTTATTGTCAGAGTGATTTGTACGACATGCAAATCACCGGGTGAATCATGGAAAACAGAAAATCTGGTATTTGACAAGAACTAGAGAAAGGTATTTGAGGCTTGTGAAAGAAATGTTTGGGAAGGCTCTATTTCATGAATCATACTGTTGTGGAGTTGAGCAACCATATACAAGTTCAGGTAAAGAAGAAACAAAACTAGCTGACAACTTCATTTGCATTTCAGAATATCTTCGTTCTTCTGCAGAAGAATATTCAGTTGGAAACAGTTTTTTTAAAATATGCGAAACTTTTGAATGAACAGCCATTTAATGGGAACGAACATGTAAAAAGCTGAAAACAGATGAGATTTCCTATCAAATTCGTTCTTTCAAGTTCAATCAAAGCCTGTCGTATGAATAAAACTTTGTCAAATTGCGATATATCTACAATCAAATTCACACAATTTTCTTGAAGAATGAACGAAAAGGGAATGAAGCTTCATCAGGAGGTGATCGAGGAATGTTCACAATCCTTTTGAAACTCTATCAAACAAAAGTTGAGAGGTCATGAAGATAACGAACAGAAATGATGAAGTAGCTAATGGCACTTGACACATCGCCGCCACTTCAATTCTATTTTAGAACCTTTTTAATTCAAGTTTCGAGCTTATGCTGATAGCGAAAATTCCAGCAAGTTTGAAGATGTTCTTACAATCCAGAACATGATAACTAAAAGAAGAATAATATAGAAAGGTGTGCACAGCAGTGAGTAGTTGAGGTGTAGTCACTAAGGTATAACAGAAAACAATAAAAAAAAACAAAAAACTGTCATGCATATTGATAAAGATCATAGAAGAGGTTGATCAGCTGAGCCAGCGGATTAAAAGCGTGGGAGAATGGATATTCTGTCCTCTGATTGCAGCCAAATTAGGTCAACGCCATAAGAATATTTAGCATGAATAGACTAGAGCATTTTAGTCATAGCAGGTTTGTAAAGCTTTCAGTAGTTTTCAAAATAAGCCTACTCCCGCTCAAAAACTGTGTGTTCAGCCTTTTTTGGGCGGCAGCCGACAAGCCTTTCTATTCAGATGACTCGAATTGGATTACGTGCTACTGCTCTCTTCACATTTTATTTTCTCGCTTTTCGCTTCCTTACTTTCATCTTTTGACCGCCGTGCCTTTAATTCAGTCTCTCCAACTTCTTTTTAGTCTTTAACTTCTCTCTAAGCTTAGCTTTTGGTTTTTTTCGTTGTCTGCAATCTCTCACTTAGTTATAACTGACTTATTCTCTCTCTCTCTCTTTCCAATACATATCTCATAGCCGTTCATGTGAAGAGAAAAATGTTTAAAGAAACACAGCTAATAATAAATGAGGCAACTTTAATGAAATAATCATAAAAAAGCTCAATAGGAGGAACAACAGCAAAAAAAAAGCTATTCATCCCATATATTA